CTGTCGCCAATGCAATATACTCCAAAGACAGCCCAGCCCCATCTGGCTCAACATCAAGCAGCGTGAAATAGAAATTCCCATGTAACAGGACACACGTGAAGAGCATCACAAGGAGTGCGCTCATTCTACATCTGAACCACTTCAGGCATCTGGCAAATAACTTAACCCATAACCAGGTAATGGTTACTATCACTGTAACCACAAACACAAAATGCAGCCAGCGGGTGCTGAACCAGCCAGTGACTGGGATAAAAATCTTTTAGAAGGTGAGCTCTTAAGAAAAGGCCACCAGTTAGTTCTGAGTTAGCTACTCCGAGGTCTGAAGACAAATGAAAGACCCCTATCTTCACACAAATTTTGTCACAAGTAACAGTCTTTAAAAAGTAAAAGCACAATTCTCCAAAGCGTAACAAGCATGATAACCATGATAAAAGTGAGATGTTTCAGCACACTCTCTCTGGAGTAGCACAAAGGAAGGATACGATATGGTCTAGATTACTTACTATATTTTTGGATGGCCCCCTAAATTTAAAAAGCTTTCATATCCAAATTGATTCATTTATACTTGCATTCAATAACTGAACGAGACAGAAAAACCTCAAGAAACTTAAAGACATCTTGATCACAGCTGTTATACAAGTTATGCTGTAGGGTAAAACGGATTCCTTACTATTATTTGTTTTTTGATTGCCTTCTATACCAATGAAGCTTAAACTTGGAAGGTAACTCGGTTCCAAAAATAAGAAACCAAAACATTCCAGATGACATCCAGTTTCATTAATGAGTTAGCTACATGGATAAAGGAAGTGGTGTCCAGTAATTATTTGTAATTTTTTTAATGAAACAGCTATAATGTCTTCAGCATGTATACTAACAAGAAAAAACAGGAAAATCAAAAATTAAAGTTGGAAAACCACTCTGATTCTGACAACAGACATGTTTATTTCTTGGTTACTTATCTGTTATCAAATGTTATGCCAAAATGTCTGTCTACATAGTCTCACATCTAAGATGTAATGCAGTTCACGATAGTCATTAGCAACGACCAACATTATTTTGTCTGTTAACAATCGTTATGATACATAAAATAAACCCTTAAAAAAGCATACTGAAAACTGGCCGAGTTAAACAGCATAAACCATTCTGATCCTCTGTTCCAAGACCTCAGAACATAATTCACGTTGTGTATCCGTTATCCTTCACAGGACTCGCAAACAGCAAAGGGCTTGAGAATTAACACATTTCTATTATCTCTTGTACTGCCCGGACATGAGATGACAAATGATGGATGAAATCCCACTGTTTAGATGTAAAAGGGGTTGCTATAACCAAGATCATTTGTCTCAACAATTTTCAACATTTGGGAAGACAACTAGTCCATTTAATTCCATGTTCTAGGCCAGCACATCTCTCACATCTGACAAACAATACTTCTCTTGGGATCTTCCTTCATATTTTCCATATCCCTAGCTAGGCATTTTGTATACACATAGCTTTCTGTGGCATTACTGAAAAAACTTAAATGGTGTTCTCAGTCTCTTTCTATCTGAAATAGGGCACCTGAGTTCTCAGGAACCTACTAGATCCAGTGCATCGCAGTGCATTCCACTTTAAAACCAATCCTTGTCCTCTTACATTGTCACAAACACAGCTCCTGTCTCGAGTCAGGGGAACTGAGCACTTCTTGACAGCCCTTCACAAGGCACTTACCTGCTTTCTGCACCTATCTCTCACAAAATCAGCCATCCAAGCCGGATACATCAACTTAGATACACCTGGGTTTGGGGTCAAACATCGCAATGCTTACACTAAAACATCCATGACACTGCTTACAGACAAGTATCTGTGCACAGAGCCCCACTATTTTTAATAGGCCTCCCCATCCAAGAAGTCAGAAGAAAAGCACTTCAACACCATGATTAGCAAGCAACCTGGGTGAGAGGTGCCTTGCAAAAGCAAATGATTGCCAGTTAGGTCCACTGTTTGCTTCAGAAAAGCAAAGTGAATGAATTCCTACGTTTACACAAACAACTTGGCATGTTCAGTCACTTTTCTCTGTGTGTGTGTGTGTTTCCACTAGCAAAGTTATGACATGTCTTAATAACAGGATCAGACCGAAAGTTCACCTTGCTCAGATATACTGCTATAGGTGATTTATAAGTATTCATTTATCAATTTGCTCTAAAAGCCTTTTCTATTGGACATTCAAATTAACAAAGTTGCTCAAATTGATCCCTTGCAGAAAATGGCTCAAGTATGGAAACTCTGTAAACCTTCCCCACAACAGCATACAGAAACATTCTTCTTAAATCAGTTTTTCTGCCCAATTGTGCAAAAAGAAAACTTACTGCCCAAGTACCATCATCATGCACTCTCCGTGACCAACGTACATTTGGTCCTAGTCTGGTTGCTTCTTTTAATATGTTCACATTGAGGCTTTGCTATTTCCTGCCTTGGACATAACTGATTTCTCATCTGCCTATTTTATTTTTTAAAGGTACTGGAGATTTTACGTCTTTTTTCCTAGAAGATGCATCATCCTTAAATAGATGTCCCTTGTCACCTGCTGAATGTCCAAGACTTAAGCAACCATCATTTAAGATCCCAAGCTGATTTACGGGTGCCTGACAAACACCACTTAGTTCTTACCTCCCAAACACCTTCAACCTCAAACAATCATAGTCCCCGAATAAATAAAAATCTTTAGTTATATATTTATGTATTTAATGCTTATGTGTTTCTCATCATGTGTAAACAACGTGTCACACAAAGCTTTAAAGAGCAAAACTGTATGATCTTCGCCCAACTTGTTTTGACAGTAAGATAAAAGCATGCAGGAGGTGGAAGCAGAAGCAAGTGACCTCAAAAGAGGGTAGAGCTGCTGTTGGATCGTCCAAGTATATGGTTAGAAAAGTCAAGGCTGACCTGGAGTTGAATTTGACAAGACACCAAGAACAAGAAAGGATTCTGCAAGCAAACCAGCCACAGAAAGAAGACTGGGGAAGACATAGACCTACTGCAGAATGGGGCAGGGAAAGTGGTGACAAAGGACATGGAGGAAGCCGAGGTATTTAATGCCTTCTTTGCCTTGGTATTTACCAGGAAGGATGGCCCTTGGGAGTCCTAGTCCAAGACTACAGGAAAAGTATGCAGCAAGATGACTTACCCTCAGTGGAGGAAGTTACGGAACAGTTAAACAGAACATACAAAAGTATGCATCCTTGTAGCAAAGGAGGCCAACAGTGTTTTGAGATGCATTAGGAAGAGTGTCACCAGCAGGTTGAAGCCCCTCTGCTCAGCACTGGTAAGACCACATCTGGAATACTGTGTCCAGTTCTAGGCTCCCCAGTACGAGACAGATATGGACTTGCTGGAGTAAGTTAGGCACAGAGCCACAAAGAGACTGGAGCACGTGACACACGATGAGAGAGCAAGACAGGTGAGACTTCAGCCTAAACAAGAGAAAGCTCTGGGGGATCTCAGCAATGTATATAAATACCCAGTGGGAAATAAGAAGCAGCCAGACCCTTCCCCATAGCGCACACCGACAGGACAAGAGGCCACGGGCATTTTCCTGAACATGGGAAAACTTTTTTTACTGTGAGGGTGATCAGACACTGGGAAAAGGTTGTTCCAGAGCAGCTGTGGAAATACTCAAAACCCAACCAGACACAGCCCTGGGAAACCTGCTGTAGCTGACCATGCTTAAGCAGGGGGGTTAGACTAGGTGGTCTAAAGAGGTCCTTTCCACCTACAGAATTCTATGATTCTGTGAAATTAAATAGTATCTTTCCTTAGGCCCTCAATTCAAGTAAGGTTTTGGTCTATTATCAGTAAAATACAAAAGCACTCAAAAGCTGAAATGTAGTGTGAATGGAAAAACAGATTCATCAAATCAAAGGTCTCACATAAATTGTTGCTTGGATATAATTTTTATTCTATTTCATCATTTATGGGTTACAGCAACTAAACAAAAAAACGGGGCAAAAATCACTTGACAGATTCCAGTTGTGAGATTACATGCACAAGCAAATGTGAAAAACACTGTGGTAACTAGCCACTGACCAACCTAAAAATGTATTTAAACGAAGAGATTCTCAGCAAGCCCTGAATATAAATGCCTTTCTGCTCTTGTCGTCTTCAGACAGTTGCCACGCAAACATGATAAATATGTCACAGACTAAAAAGCTATTTAGTTCCTATTAAATGACATCAGTACCCAGTAACTAAAAAGCCAAAGCCATTTATTTCAGAAATTCAGAAGCATAACATGTTTATAACTAAGATTTTAAACCAGTCTAAAAATATCTGTAACTTTGTGTTTTCATTTAATTCTATTTTAACAGTAGACTTTACATGCACATATCCTTTAAATTTAGCGCTTGATCAAGACTGAGTTGTTTTTGAGCATTTTTTCAAATTATTTTTACACGTATGCCATTACTGATACGCATATGTCTACTTCCTTGTCATTCTTCTCAGCATTTATAATATATCTACAACTCTCCTACCATTTCAGTTACCAGGCAATAGACTGTAGCAAAGTAAAACTTCCATGAACATGTAACTGCACAATTCTGAAGAGAGAGATGCATCAGGATAATAAAGAACACTGAGATGACCAGATCAAAAACCTGCAATATGTAAACTAATACAATAGAACTGTTGGGGGGAAAAAAATAGCAACAGATAATCTGAGTTTTTGACTAGTTCAAAGCAAAATCCAAGAGCCCAGCCAAACCTGGCTCCTTTGAAGGCAACAGGAACATGCCAGGCTGGCATGGTAATGCCACTGTCAGTCAACTTAGTAGCTGCTGACATGGTTACTGCCTCCCAACTTTTCTATACCTGTTTTTGTATGGAACAGTCAAACTCACTTAGTCTTTCAATTTATCTTAACCAACATCAAAATAATATACTTCCATATAACCACATGACTTTTATAACAAGCTGACTGGAAAAAAGGAAATAATGAACACAAGTAATTGAAATTAAAATACCTGTTATTGAACAGTACACTATGTGAGGAGCAATCTTTTTCATGTCTTCATAACCCAGACCCATTTCAGCCAGTTTCCCAGGAATGTAGTTTTCCACAAAAACATCAGACACCGCTGCAAGCTTTAGAAAAGAAAAAGATGAGTAAGATCTGTTAATGGGCTTCCAAAAGTCCAATAAACTCCTCATGTAACTTAATTTAGAAATCTCACTAATCAAAATGGCTCCAGCCTTTCTGATAAAAGAAAACTTACAAACCTGGAGAGATATTTTTTGGCCCATCAGACTGTCTATCTCTGCAAACTACGTATTAGTGATATGTATCTAGAAAGTCGACTGTCACAATCCTGAAGAGACTAGGCAAAAATCTATAATATAGTTATATCATCATTATCACATCAGATTCCCAAGACTTGACAATAGTTTACCAAGCAATTATCACCTTTACACCTGCAGTGCTGGGGCCAGCTCGGGGGCCCCCAACAGCAGAAGGACACGGAGCTGCTCGAGCGGGGCCAGAGGGGGCCACGGAGATGCTGGGGGGGCTGGAGCAGCTCCCCTGGGGGGCCGGGCTGAGAGAGTTGGGGGGGTTCAGCCTGGAGAAGAGAAGGCTCCGGGGAGCCCTTCGAGTGGCCTCCCAGGGCTTAAAGGGGGGGCAGGGAAGGTGGGGAGGGACTCTTTAGCAAGGAGTATAGGTTTAGCACAAGGGGTAAGTTTTAAACTGAAAGAGGGTAGTTTAGATGAGATGTGAGGCAGAAATCCTTCCCTGTGTGGGGGGCGAGGCGCTGGCCCAGGGTGCCCAGAGCAGCTGTGGGTGCCCCCTCCCTGGAAGGGTTCAAGGCCAGGTTGGACGGGGCTGGGAGCACCCTGGGCTGGGGGAAGGGGACCCTGCCTGGGGCAGGGGGTGCCACTGGATGGTCTGTAAGTTCCCTTCCAACCCAAAGCATTCTGTGGTTCTATGATCAACATATAACCTTGATAGGCTTTAAATTATATTTTTTTCTTCTTATAAAAGTTCTAGATATACATGTTTCAATAAGAATAGTTAAGAACAACTGAACCAAGGGATCTACATGTTAAGAGGTATGCCTTGCGGGAGCTGTAGTTTTTTTGCTTAGTTTCTGCCTCCCCCCAGGAATTTAATATACCATTCCCAGACAGGTTTGTGCAGACATTTTTAATCATAACCTAAACCATTTAGTTTGTTAATGCTATTTGCAGCTGTGAGTCACATTCTCTGAAACTACCATGTCCTTGTCTGATTAATATATACAGTATATTAGACCAGATTCTATAAACTAATGTCATCATAACAGCAATCACAAGCATTTTAGTTCTAGCAGGTTGTCTGTTCCACTGAATTTATGGCCAAATAAGCTGCCAAGCCAGCAAGTATTTAACAGGAAAGATGAAAATTGATTCTTATTCAGACAAGGCAGCACACAACTTATGAATCTTTTAACTGGATGCACAAGAGACATGAGTAACATTTACAGAAACTAAGTTCAGTATGTTGTAAAGATGCATTTTAAAATATGTCATTAAGTATTTTTAAAGTGGCTATGTCTATAGTCTACAGAACTATGGTAAAATAAGAAACAGTCTCCAGATTCTTAATAAGCATTGCCAGGTTTCAATGTTGACAGCTGGCTCATTTGTTAATTCATTATTCCACAGAAGTGAACAGAACATAACTTCATGGAAGTTATTAAAAAATAGGCCTCTGTCACAAGAAGGTTCTCAAGAAGATCCAGTTTTCCACAGAGCTAAAGCATTTTCTAGTAAAAACAGAAGTAGGTCAGATCTACAGTTGTCCTAATCCTCTGTGCAGGACAGCAAATCAAGCTGCCAAAGTAAAGTAAGGGCAACGCAACAGGGGCAAGCTATTTGTTCTTTAATGGTATGCCTTTATGAAAAAATAAAGCTTTTCTATTTTCTATTTAAATCCTTCACAGTCCATACATAAATACTTTTCCAACTGGTAATGCTACAACCTTAGCTTAATTCATTCAAGAGAAAAATCAGTTACAAATTGTTTATGGCTTTCACTGGGATTTTATAATCCATCCAATTTGCAGTGATTGTATGGGCTAAAACAGTTTGCGAGTTGCTGTCCATCTCCTACTGAAGAACTATCATTTCCTACAAGCCACTGAGGAAGAAAGCGTGACACGCAGTACTGCAACATAAAGCACCATACCTCTGGGCTTGGCAACAGACATGGGATGACAGCAGGGCTAAGTGAGGATTCAATGACTCAGGCCCAGTTCAGCAGTGGATATATTCTCAAAGAAACAAACATGAATTTTCAAGACATTCTACAAGTGCTGTGTCAGCTCTGCCACTGAAGTTTTTGTGACACTTGGAAATAGTCTTTAATGCATAAGGGCAGAAGGCTGCCTATAGCGCTTCTTTTGATGCTCACTGAACCAAGCACATGTACCCAGGGTTGTGCCAGTGTGGAGAACTGGATTCACTCCGATCCAAACAAACAGTATGTTCTTAGAACTCAAAGGTATTTTCAGTCTCAGTGGGGTTTTAAATCCACTGTCAACTGAAATTTCACACTTCACGTCCTATAAATACTCTGCACTTGCATTTTAACCTCTACTAACAGAGTGATACAACACAGACCTGAGCTGGAGTACTATGTATTCTAGGTAGGACACCGATACGCTCGACTCCTGAGGTCTGTACCTCAGGAAAGAAAAAAGGCACCATGCATGCCAAAGTAGCCATTAAATTGGAAAAAAGTAACAAATAAATTATGCTACTAACTTGATAAAGCAAACTATTCATACCTTTCAGAAGTTTTGGTTGGGGAATTCAGGGGTTTTTTTGTTGTTTTTTACAAAAACTCCACACAGAGGAAAATATACATACACACATAAACATGTGTATAACACACACACATACATACTTGTGTGCATTATTTGTGTGAACAGTGCGAATATCAAGTGGGAGAGCATGCATGAGACACTCTGACTTACCAGCTGAAGATAATGGAAGGAGTGCCATATATATAGAAAAGTTTATTAGTTGAGGCCAAATACTCAGGAGAAAGGTCTGCTCAGGGTTCCTAAAATGAGCTTCCGACAGTAACTGCTAAAAAATGCTCTAAAGAGATACTAAGCTGTATTACAACAGAAGGATGTCAGAGCATGGGACCAGTGCACAAACCGTCACTGAAGAGGAAAAAGAAATTTTGATTCAGTAATACGTACAAATATTTGGAAGGCAGTTAACAGTGAGCCAAAAGCATTCTGAAGGAGGAAAAAGCTTAAAGTGACACAGAATAAAGAAACTTGAAAAAGATGACCAAAGACTTATTTTGTGGGAGTCATGTAATTATGAAAGAGCAGACCCCTGGACAAGTAGTCTTTAGTACTGGGCTAAAGGAAGAAAAGCAGCCAGGAGTCCTGATTTCTTCAGCTCCCTTGATACTAGTGAGTTAAGGCTGTGCTTTTGTCATATACCTGAAGACTCTCTACTCCTTTGTTTTTAATATGATTCTAGACTCTGAGATTTGCCCTCTTCTACCTATATGGAACTTACAAGCGTGGGGAAAGAAAGTTTATTCTAACCATATTACCTTTCTTAATATAAATATTATAACCTTGTTACTTTTCTTCATAAGGCTTAGGCTCAGGACTCAATTCATATTCATCTATGAGTAATCAGCATCACGAAGTGGAATTTCTTCTTGACATCAATTACTTTACAGACATAAACATTACTTTTCATAGTAACAAATACATAGCTTAACAACACTCAATTCTATACACGTGTCCCGATGTTACCAGGAGACAACTGAAAACAAAAGCCTGTTATAGATAACTTCCCTTTACAAATTCTTTTTGACAGAACTCCAAACAGAGTATTCTGGTTTCATCTGAGATGCAGTAATGGAGCATCAAGACCTCTGCACCAAATACTTCCAAAAACTATCACTCTAAATCAAGCAGAATGATGAACAACTCCACAAGCTGAATCACATTTCAATAACGTCTCATCACTTCAGTCCACAACGTTGCTCTATCACAGATAGGGATGCCATTGATTTAAGGAACAGAAAGCTGCAGTGGTTATGAATGCAATTTTAATAAAGGATAGAAACTATAGGAAGTTGCTTTGTCAAAGGAGATGTCCTCATTTCTACAGCTAGTGTGGTATTTAACAGAGTTAGTTCTCCCACTAGAAATTCCATAACATCACATCTTAGGAAGTAATTCTCACACGTGCTTGACTACTTCAGTGACATCAAGCTACAGGAAAAAGTGTTTCTGCTGGCAGGAAGCATTTGTCTGTAAGTACCCTTACTGTCAGCTATACTATCTTCATCATGACAGCTTTACATTACAGTGGTATAAGACATCTTATCTACAGGAGAAGGGTGGGAAACCCAGCACTGACCTGACTGAGAGGATGCCACTCTTGCATGACAAACGAGGGAAAAGAAAGTTGCTGCTCTGATTGTAAAATTACATGGGATTTGAACTCAACCAGGCACAAAGGTTATACTGCAAGTTCTTAAGTCACCAGCCATTCAGATCCACAAACCATAAAAAGCTAAAAGCTTCTCCATATTGCAGGCAGAAAGTTATACATTTAAAACCAGAATCAAGCACTAATCTTCCTGCACAAACATCAAGATGAGAAAATGGGAACTTCCTAACCACAAATAGTGGCAATCACATAAGCAGCTTAAACTGAAGACATCTTTTCTCCAGCTCATCCTGACTCATAGGACCAGCTGCCTTTAATTCTTCGAACAGGCCCAGCCCACACACCTGGAATCAGTGGACATTTTGCATATAGTAATTTTTCCTTCCACCATTTTCAAAGGTCAGATAACAAGGTAGTCTTCTTATGAGAGGGGAACAATTTTTATAGCCCTTATTTAGAATGTGACTATTTTATACATAAACACATCTGTATTACACCATGCAAAATTACTCCAAATTACAGTGTCTGTTTCCAAAGCCTTTAGAAAATAAACATACAGCTTCAAAATCAACAATAAATGGTTCTGTTCTGCAAAGTGAAAAGGCACTGCAGAATCCTTGGCTTATAAACTCCAAAGGTATCTATATGAAGTGTCTTTTACATAGCTGACAGTGAAAAGGTCGAAAGTATCGAACAACTTCATCTAATTACATTTCCTGCAACATTACAAACAATAAAATACTTCAGGACAAATTCCACTTATTTCAGGACACAAAGTCTCACTGTGAAAAAGTGATTGGAACTGATATTGAAACAAACAGTAGCAGAAGCCAGATCACCCTCTTCGATGTGTTAGTTCTGCTGGGCTAAAGACACAGCACTAGTAAGTAGCAGGTCTTTTTTTTATTTCTTGAGAAACAGAAAAGAGATAACAAAGCACAAGTTTCACAGAATGTGAAATACGATGCTTTTATTCATTTTTCAATGGAAAAAAATGGATCACCCTTAGAAGACCCTTATATTCTGAATTCAAATACTGAAAAAAATTAAGTTTGACCTACAGGACAGTATTTCTCAAAAAGTTGCACAGCAACCAAAGTCATGAGTATACTGTAACATTCAAAGACCTGCAAATACTGGAGCCCAGTATGTCCTCTTCGTAAACTGCTCACTGACATCATCAGATCAATCCAGATTAAATCTTTCTAATAACCAAATACAGCAAGATCAAATACAGCAACAGCAAAAGGAAAGCACTAGGCTGTTAGATCTTTTCCTGACAAGATCTGAAGCTTCTTAAGACATTTTCCTGTACATTTTAGATCTCAAATACTTAGAAATTGCACTGAACACTGAGTCCAAAAATCAGAGTATAGAAGATACATACTGCAATTCCACAAATGTACTGCACACATACATATTTTTAATTTTCAGATATCAAATTAATACTTGAAATGCAGAGTTTATTCTTTATTATTCCGGATGAAAACAATACAAAATAGGCAGAGTTTGCACACTATCAAAACCCACCTCTCTGATTAGCTTTGCTCCTCTTGAATCCTTCATGTTGATAGCTATACTCTGGGGATAGAAAAAGAAGAAAATATGAAAACTCTTCTGGTGGTTATCAGTCTCTTCTAAATATAACCAACAGTCAAGTTTCACACCACAGATAAATCAAGTAAGTAAATTTTACCATGCACACCTCACCTCTCCCTGTAAAAAAAAAAAACCTCTGTTGGTAAAGCAAGCTGAACTGTCTCACCAATGGATCAGAAAAGCACCAAAAAAGTCTGAGAGATGTGCAGCTCCCAGCTGCACCACAGTCTGTTCACTGCATGTTTGCACAGCACCGACCACTGCAAGCACACGTGGGGACACCAGAAACCTTTGTTTCTGTGGCAACAAGCCATTAAACAGCTCAAGCATGTCATGAAACTTCATCTTAAACCTGAAGTTTCACAAGCTGCCTTAACCAACCTAACTGTGGTATGATGCCTGCTCTCCTCCAGCTCCAGCTGATGCAGGTCAGCTGAGCTAAGACACCTGAAAAAACTGATCTTCAAATAAAAGAACCCTTACTTTCAGCAGGGTGAATTTTCAGTCAATTTGCACCATCAACTCAGCAGCGGCAGGACAGCTCTTATTTCTAATTTGCCTCAGCTGACCACAACACCATACCAGAGGTTTGCAGCCTTTTTTGATTCTTAACATATATAATGGAGCAATAGTTACATTGGCCTTAAGTTATGATGAATAATGCTCAAGAGAAAAACAGAGTTCTTTTGAAAAAAGAAGTGTTATTCCTTCAGTTGTAAGTACAGAAAGCATAGGCTAATGTTCAGTACCACGCTCTATTTACCTTTTTATTTCTATTGACACTGAGAAAATAAACACTTTCTGTTCCAGCAAAAGGTGGGCCCCAGGCTCTTGTATCATCACCAGCTCCTGAAAAAAATACCATTACACTTTGGTAGTTGTCCAGTATCACACTGCCAACAAATAAAAAGAATAAAGTTTTCCTCTAACATCATATTTAAACCACCTAAATTTCATCTATCAGGCAGAACAAAAATCAGGATTTCATGTAGGTACATATTTTAGATTATTTATGTCAAAAGAACCACCTAGAAGTGAATGTGATTAAGGCAGGTGAGCACAGTGCTTGCTAGTGCTGGGATTACTTTTAGGCTTTAAAATATTAATAAACAGCCACGTACCACCAATATATTTGTGCTTTCTTGCTTTGTTTTTATTTGTGGGTTGGTTTTTTGGGGTTGGGGTGGGGGGGATAATTTTGTTTGTATTTTTTACCTTAAAGCAGAGCTACAATACCATTCTTTTAGTCAATCCAGAAGAATTTAGTAGAAACTGTTGCCCTGCACCGAGTCACACAGTGCACACAGTCAATAAGCTATTCCTGAAACACTCTGGACACATCAAAATACCACTGATCAGCAATAACTCGTTGAGCTGCACCCTGCAGAACATCGACAGAAAGAAGCACTTGCTATAGCTGGTGCAATCCCCCACCTCCAGCCCTTCCAGAAACACTCCTGCCTTCCAGAAAGGCAAGATGGCATGAAAGCTGCTGCAGATACTGATGTCACTGTAACATTTATATTTCATTTCCTATTTTAAACCTTTCTTAAATGTCAAAGACCGGCGATCTATTTTAATTAAATTAAAACTAAATTTAAATTCAAATATAATCATTATCCCAAGTGCTAGCAAACATGCACAATCCTAAATTTATTACAATATCTAGACTTTATCTACATGTTAACTTCACTTGAGTGAAAACTCTTAGTGAGGGAACACAGAGGACTGATACCAGCACAGACACAGAAACAAGCTGAAGGACCTTTAGTTTTACACAATACAGCCACTGTCAAAATTATGCTATACACTATGGTAACGCAAAGTCTACAGCCTTTTAAGATCAAAATTACTCATCAACATCTGTATTGTTTATTACCTCAGAGAACTATGTTGGTTCAAGAAAGAAGCTTGGGAAAAAAAATATCTCTTCTGTATGTTACCACTTCAAGCCATTCAAAACAAAACATTTCAGTAATCCTTCCCATATAGGACACTAGTCTGGCTACTATCCTTTATGGATTAATACTCCTGTGAAAGTAGACAACCTCTCACAGAAAGAGCCAATTACTCACATTCTAAAATGCTTAAAATTCAGAGTTCTCAGGCTGTCCTTATCCTTCAATCACAAAACAAAACTCAAGAGCTGGAATTAAAATCTCCAAAACCATTACTTCATACTTAGTTGTCAACATTGCTCTGTTCCTACTACCTAGATACTTAGAATAATACCACTGTCAGTCTCATCTGATAGAACCAAATTGATGCAGCTTCTGCCTTGTCACAAAAGTGAAAACGTTTGAAACAATGGTGAGTGATTAAGGATGACCCATAGGTTGACATCACAAAACTTGTTAGACATTCAAACATTCAGTATTTCCTATTTAGAATAAAATATAGGGCATGTAGTATCTTTTAGTATATCAAGTGTGTAATTATCTTCACCAGCTCTTTTCAAAACTAGTAATACCAGAAGAGAGAAACATAAAACATAGAAACTCGAAGAAAAAGATACATGACTTAATTGGCAGCTGCTATGCCTCAAATGCATAATGATGCATAAAACTGAAAGCCAAATGCAGGGAATATAAAACAAACAAACCTGAATGCCATGTAATTTGTTATACGTTAAATCTTCTTGTGTGTCCCTATGAACTAAAAAGTTTAACTATTTCCTAAGAATTAAGCATTTTTTTTACCACTACTGAATCCTCAACAACTCTGAAAAAGTGCATGTGCTAAGTGGAAGAACAAAGCCATTGTGTTAAGCTAAAATACAGAAAAATAAGTTCTATTTATGAAGCTAATTACCCAGAATCCAATCAGACTCAGAAGGAGCTACACAAGTTTCTGCCTCTGAAAACACACTCAGAGGTCATTAACCTCAGACATTTTCAGCACTAGCATGAAGATTTTCATGCTAATTCAGAAATCTCCCTTTTCCAGTGAACTCCCATCGCCATCTACACAGGAATATCAGATCCTGGACTTTGAAGATACAGCTACCTCACACAGAAAGTAACTTTCTTTCACTTTGCACAAGTCCAAAGACAGATTTCTCTGACAGGGTAATTATTAATTAACAAGCTGAAACTGTACTGGAATATTAAAACTATTCTCAGGAGAAAGTTCATTTAGTATGCCAAGTCACCTTATACTGTACCAGTCAGAATGCTTGCCAACCCCACTAGATATGTATAGTACTACACAGAAACAGTGCTAACAAACCATATATATGTTATATGCTCATATTACCTTTCTTCCTTGTAATAATAAAAATGAAAATAGAAAGTGGAGTTTCTGTTTCCAAAATTAAAGTGCCTATCATTTTATCAGTATTCGAATCCTGAGTAGTAAAAAGTATTTCTATTTAAAATTATCCAAGCCTTTTTCGCTCAGAGGAAACTGAGCTGAAGATTCCAAATTACCAAATGGCAAAAACAGCTTTTCCATAATTCTTATGTAACTACTTGCTGGAAGGATCTGTTTGCCAATTTTTGCATGTCAAACAAAACACTTAAAACCCTGTTTTAACCCTCTCACCACATTACAAAAAAACAACACCATACCCCTAAGCATTCACAAGCCCAATTTAAAATCTAAGCAAAGTCCAACCAATTCAAACAAAATCAATTTAGCTTTGAGTGATGAAATAAGGCACTTCAGCAAGCAATGATTCAGTACTGTTTTGTACATTAATATCTGCTAAAGTTACCTGACTTTACTTTAACCTTTTCACACTCTTCTCTAAATAGACGGACTACTTCCGCTCAAAACACATCTACATGGAGCACAGTGTTAAGCTTAAAGCAAACAGATCATACATGTGTATGAGCAAACCTACTAATAACTAGTTCTCTACCACACCAGGAATAGTGTGAGGATGTGAAATGCTCCCAAATCTTGAAAAAGGCTGGCTCAAAAACAAAATATACAAACAGCTACAAAATTAGTCATTTCTTAGCACAATACCATAAACATACTGTCACCAAATCACACCTTCACCAAATAAAAATAGTATTGTCTTTCCAAATATTTCCACAAGTTGTCAATCTTGCATTCTCAGTCATGTATTATTTAAAATATAAAAAACAACCGTTTGTTAAACTACTCCGTATTCTTCTTTATATCTAAAGTAGATAATAAAAATCTTACCTGGTCTTTCTACTTTGATAACCTCAGCCCCTAGATCTCCCAAATTCATTGTGGCAAAGGGCCCTGCAAGCACCCTGCAATATTAAAAATAAAAAAAATTACTGTTTTCTTAGTTTTTCCTATCAGAATATTTGCATCTAGAGAGACTGTTCCAAATTACAGACAAAACACAAACCTTGTTAAATCAAGAATTTTCACACCATCCAATGGCTTTACATTACTAGAACCTGACAAGAAACAGAAAACAGTAACTTGACTTTTTTTTGTAAAACACTTTTCTCATTGGTAGTCTGAAACACTGTTTTTATGACCCTCTCATCATCCTCCCTCACCTCCCTCCCCAAATAACATATAATAAAGCTTCCACAGGTAGGTTATCAGGAGTTCCTTTCAAAGTTGGAAAACCTTATGGTTAATATTGCAGAACCTATTCTAAATACCTTGCAACTCTATAATAAAGCTACTTTTTAGAGATGATATTATATGTGCCTTCCACAAATATTCATATAACTGTTAAAGACTAATCTGAAGAAAGATCCAATAGAAGCACAGCAAGAAACATCAAAACACCACAAACTAAAACTAATGGGTAGCAGACCAGTGTGAAGCACAGTATCCTCAGGAAGTGTTTTGACCTGTGTGGACCCATGCACTTGCATCACACACACGCACAAAAAAATCTGCATTTCAAAAAAGAGGTTACGAAACTGAAGACAGACTATATGAACCACGGAAATAGTTGTTCTGTTTCCACGCCAGCAATACATGCAAGATACCTACTAGGAAATCAGTGCTTTCCTCCTTTCCTTCATCCTTTCCAACCCGAGTAGCTCTAAGAAACAGCATCACAGACAGAGCAAGCCATCTCATAGTCCAAACCACAGGTTTGCCAACTATCTCTTGGGTGACTTTGGGTTATCTTCTGCTAACTCAGTGTCTTTAATTGGAGGCTAGGGATGAAAACACTTCACCACCCTGCGTGGATGGTAATTTTATTACTACTTGGAAGCTGGTCTCATACCAAACAAAAAAAGAAAAGGCACCTGACCGGTAACACCAGAAAAATTACACAATGCTAACTTGTGGTAAGCATCCCTTTTCATTGTTTGTCCAGGTAAGAGAAAGATGTAAAACATGGGGGAAAAACAAACACAAACAAACAAAAAAATAAAAAATCACACAATTAATTAATTCAAGCATAAACTTCCTTATATAACAGGAGGGAGAAAAGAACCACAGCCCCTCATAGCGTGCAGGGCAGTGTGGTGCCTCTCCTGAGTCACACAGCAGTGAACACCTGCGTTACCTGCAGCACACTCCCTCCACCAGCCCTGAGCCACCCCCATAACTCTCGCTCCTGCCTTACTGTGTGGTACAGAGATAGATATGGGGAGAGATATATAATAAAGCAGCTACAGAGATATGAAGCAGCATTGGGAATTCCAGGATTCTGCTATAATGTTTTCATTCACCCTACTGCTCTCAGAGAGGACACCTGCATCCCATTCTTCATCTTCAAGACATTTTCCTCAATTCTTACCAATCGCTCCAGAGGGATTTGAGTTTAACAGGTTTTGGTTGTTAATACAATATGCAGACCAAGCAGCACATTGAAAGTGTGCTTATCTAGGAGTGGCCACCTATTCTGCACATTTCAAAGCCTTTAGGAAAACACGGGCTGCCACCTCAGTGAAAGTTCCACCTGTTGGAAAATACTAGTGCTAGTGCCAGGTAAACGCCTCAGATCCTCCAGCGTAACCCCAGTTTTTTCAAGTTGGCTTTAGCTGAGCAAACACTTAAGCATATGCTTGTCTGTTAAGGAACAGAGCACACCATGTGCTTCACAATGACATTACTCTGTGTTTACACAACATATGTAAACAACAGCTTTACTGGTGAGCACAGCTCCCTAAAAAAAAAAAAAATATCATTTTAGTTAACAAAAAGGCTCAATCTTCCTCTATTCTTTCCACACATTTTAAAGCTGCACTCTTGCTCAGTGGCTCACTTAGTCTCCTCCTGAACCAGCATTTAGTGTTACTCATGTTTCTCACTGATACACTACCAGAACAGCAACTTCTCAGAGCCAACAGGTTCTCTAGCTGTGGCTGAGCTGCAGAATTTCATGAAGATATTTCTCAGAGAAGCCTATAAAGTGTTAAGATTAGCCTGAAACTATTCATTTCTGTATAACTAAGACTGATGAATCCTTACCAATTACTACATCACTCACATTATGGGAACATCTCCAGTCAGTGATTATGACTCTTCTATACTTGAAACAGAACAGGAGAGTACAGTTGTTTCAGAGACAGACAGACCATTGTGAGGGTTTGTTTAATGCTGATAAATAACACCGATGTCCACAATGACAAATAAATGCAAGAAAGAAGAGAGATGCTTTTGAAAATCTGAGAAAAAAAAAAGAGACCTCTTAGTCTCTTCAAACTAGAAGCACACGGATATTCACAAAAGAATATAGGACCTAGATTCACATTCCAGCAATACACTAATTTGCTGAATCAATTACAACAGAAAGCCTTTGGACTACCAGAGAAACAGCAGTTCTGGTACACTGACCCGAGTACCAGAGTATCACCAATCCCTCACTGCAGGAACAAAAAGAAACAAAACCAAACCACAAACATAAGAGATCAGAATTAATCAGAAGTATTCTCCTGGTTTGGTTTTTTTTTTTATTTTCCTTCTCTAGCATCTCATCAGACACACACCCAAAGTGAAACTTTTCCCATAGAGCGTTTTCTGCTGCAATTCTGGCTCAGTGGTCTAAATTCTCTATAATGTGAGCTCACAGTTTCTCTCCTATTTTTGCTTTTAATTATTCCAGCAACTTGATGATTGAAAGAAAAATCCACTCTCTCAGCTCTAACTACAACCTATCTGTAAACTCTTTATTCCCATAATGCTTGAATTTACTGTAAATTAGACAGTCATGTGTATCTTTCATAAATAACTTTGATGAAAAATAGATTCACCCATTCTCAATATGATTTAAACTCTTTAGTTAAACTTGGTAGATTGTCCCAAGGTTGGGCAACATGAGTCAGCAACCAAGACAGAGATCATTCTATAGAAAATAGATTTTCATACCATGTTCTCAAAAAGAAAACCTTTCCTTTATACCTGCAAGTGACAGAAGAGAGCAGAGAACTGCTTAGCACACTTGTGTGCACCAATGAAAATTAGCAGTAAATAAATACATTCCCTTCCACTTGCACCTAATTCCAGAGGACATCACTTCATAAGTCTATTGTCTCTATTTTGATTGCACAATTGATATTTTTTAATTTATATATGCAGCAAGTTAGGATAGAGTCCATCTCTATCGTAGATTAATTCACTATCAATAAGTACACTCCTAACAAGGGATGCACTTGGTATGTCCATCTGGGGAAACAAAACTCCAAACGTGCTCTGATTCTAGGGGGATCAACGCGATTGTCAGTCTCTTCCTATGTATTAAATGACAGAGAAATCTGAAAGCCGGGGGCTAATGACTTCATTGCAGTTTGGTTTTACCCTTCTTCATTAAAAAAAAAAAAAAAAAAAAACAACCACAACTGTATGAAGCTAAAGTTTGGTAACCTCTGAAAAACCAGGCCTAGGAGAGGAGAGCGGGCGCTTTCCCCCCACCTCGCCCCGGCAGGAGCTGAAGCCGCCCCGCTCCCCGCCACACGCCGCGCAAAGTCCAGCCGCCGCCGCCGCCCTCAGCGAGCCCCGGCCGACACCCGAGGCTGCACAACCGGCCGCCCCCGCTACGAGCGCGGCTGCCGGCGGCCCGCCGTCCCCGGGGAAAGGGGAAGGGAAGCGGCAGGGCTGGAAAAGGGAGCGCAGCCCCCCAGCTCCCCTCCTCACCGCGTCGAAGCGCTGCGAGGCGCAAACCTCCCTCAGGTGCCTTAACGTCCCGCCCGACCCGCCACCCTCCCTCAGCGAGACGGCTCCGACCGCTGCCCAAGCCGCCCGCGTCTGCCGCACCGCCTCAGCGGCATTTAACGGAGATGAGGGAAGGGGTGCCTGAGGAGGAGGGCGCGGCGCGGCTACCTGCCGGGGCAGCGCCTCCGCCCCGCGCCCCGCCGCTGTTGCGAGGGGAGGCGGTGCTGAGGGCTCCGGGGCGGCGCGGCGAGGCAGGGCACGGGCTCCTCCACAGCCCGCCGCCATACCGCCGGCTCCTTCTTCCCAGCCCAGCGCGAAGCATCTCCGCGCCTCCCGAGGGGAGCAACAGCCGGGCGCCTCGGCCGGCGCCGCGAAAAAGTGCGCGCTTCCCCACAACGCGCAGGCGCCGCCCGCCGGAGCGTTAAATTGCTCCCGGGGTGGGGCGATGCGCAGGCGCGGGGGCGTGGCCTCCCCGCCGGCCCCGCCCCTGGTTTTTCCCGCCGTGAGGGCGGCTGTGGAGCGTCGCGGTCCTTCCTTCGCTGTTTGCCTCTGCTGTGAAGTAATCCCCAGTAAAAGGTGCCTTTCTTCGGCTGCGGGGCGCCGGCGGCCGGGCTTCATAAATAGGGAGGAGGTGCCATGCAGATATGGACGCAGTAATTCCCGCTCCTGCATAAAAAACTTTATGCAAAATTCACTAAGGGTTTGTGGGTTATTTTTTGCTGCGACAGCTAGTTCCTGGACAAACCAGTGGCTAGAAACTTGCACTCCCAGTTCAGTGCACAGGCTGCGGCATACAACGTTGCTGAGATGGACTAAAAGCAAAATATCTCCACAACGGGGTATTTCTGCCCTTCCGAGGTAGGCAGTTGTACCGGACGCCGTTCAATCCTCTCATGAGGCAAATCCTTTACCTCAGCTTGGCTTCACAGAAGTTGCAATATTACTTACGCTTTAAGCTCTATCTTCAGTTGTATATAGCCATGGAAGGGTTGGCTTGAACTGACCTTTAAGGAATTCTTCCTTAAGCTAAGTACTTTCAGGCTATTTTTAGTTTGTGTTACGGGAGAATGGAAGGCTTGTTGTAGGAACGCCGCGGTGTCTTTTTGCTCCCTAATAGGATAAAAAAAGCTCACAGAGGCTCAGCATTTATGTGTGAGAAATAGGCTGTGAGAGGACTGCTGCATTTCAAGAATAGCTGAAACTGCGTAAAAATGAGCATTACAAATAACAAAGGCTTTACAAGTGTGACGTGTCAGATGGCCTGTCTGCTGAGGAAAAAGGTGAGGGAAAATCTTCTGCGTGATGGGTTTGTTGACTGGATGTGCAATGTGTAAGGAAAATTATAACACAGATGCTTGAAATCCTAGAAGCAGTTAGGATTTGTCAGCAAGAAGGAATTCGTCAGCAGAACTATCCCAGTATAATTCAACATGTGTGTAACAATATGTATTTCTAATTATTTCAGTGTGAAAACAGTTTAAATTAAAAGAAGCTGTCCTTTTCTGGAATGAGATTCATCAGACAGGAATAGATGCTTATGTTGATAAACTGTCATGTATAGACACGGCATTCCTGGTATAAATAATAAGATAGAAAATTGGTCTTTTAGAGAAGACAGAACAATAAAGGATTAACAAAAAAAAAAAGTAAGTAGGTATAGCCTCTCTCTGTTTTAGAACTGTGTCCTGGGCTGAGTGAGTGGTGGAGTTTTTTGGTGGCAGGGGAGGGGGCTATCGGGGCGGCCCCCTGTGAGAAGCTTCTCGAAGCTCCCCCAGCTCCACGTCAGCTCCACTTCTGTTTGGGAAATTGAGCCAATCGGCTTGCGCCTCTGCGATAACGTATTTAAGAAGGGACGTGGTGACGGGCAGTCGGACTGGTGAGGAGGAGTTGCTGCAGCTGCGTGAACACCAAGGTCAGTGGAGGAACGGAGGAAGAAAGGAGGGGGGAGGTGTGCCGGAGCTGAGACCCTCCTGTATCCTGTGGTGAGACGGCAGGGCGGCCCCCCCCTGCCACCCATGAAGATCTACGGTGGAGCAGACATTGATTTACAGCCTGTCGTTCCTGCTCGGCTGATCAAGGTTCTGTGCCCGAAGAAGGCCGGGGTCTCATGGAAAAAGGTAGCCCCGCTGCTGTAATTCAGTGCTGGGAGGATTGCAGCATGCGGGGGAGTCCCACGCCGGAGCAGCTCGGGAAGGGCTGCAGCCGTGGGAGAGAATCCAGTCGGAGGAAGTTAGTGACCCATGACGGAGCAGTGTGGGGAACGCTGCGGCCCATGGGAGGAATTCAAGTCAGAGAAAGTTTGTGGAGGACTGTCTCCTGCGAGAGGGGGACCACGATGGAGCAGGGGGTAACAAGTTTTGGACACTCCCCTCACCGAAGATGAAGGAAGTGGCAGAGCTGACTGCACCCCCCATTCCCTGCCCCTGCGCCACTGGGGGAGGAGGTAGAGATATCGGGAGCAGAGCTGAGCCCGGGAAGAAGGGAGGGGTGGGGGGAAGGTGTTCTCAAGATGTGGCAATGCTTCTCACTGTCCTACTCTGTTATGTGTTGTTAGTGTCTGTAATAAATGTATGTTCTTTTTTTTCTTCCCCTAACGAGTCTGCCTTTTGCTCATGATCATAAAAGGGGGATTTTCCCCCATCCCAGTCCTATCTTGAACCCCAAGCCTGGCTCTCTGTCCCTTCTCATTGCCGGAGGGGAAGGGAGAGAGAGGTGCTGCATTGTGGTTGGCTGTCAATCAGGCCGAAACCACGACAAACTGCAAGGATATTGCTCCATGATTTCACAGGGAAGTTGTAAAACAGTGGAGAGCTGAGTTCTTTGAGACCAGAAAGTCCATTTCCCCCTTCCAAAAAACACCCAAAACCCCACCTGCTTAAAGCCAAAGAAAAGCAGTCTTTACAAAGCATAGAAATATCCCACTTACTTTATTGACTGAGTTTTGTTCACTACTATTCTGAAAGCCTGTTTCACTTTTACACATTGCAACGTCCTAAAACCCAAAAGTGCTTTGTTGCACTGATGGAAATCCCCCCCAAAAAAAAAAAAAAAAAAACTACTCTTCACTGATTTTCACCTGTTAAGGATTTGCATTAACATAGTTGAGAACAGACCAGAAATGCTAATAAGTAACACTGAGAATTTGAGTTTATGGCGCTAAACATTAGGTTCTTCTCCAACAGAGCATTTTCCTGAAAGTTTTTATGCATAGGTATCAGTGCCAGAAATACTGCTCTACTGAAGAATTGCTGACAGTCCAAACTGATTAATAATAAAAAAAAAAAATTCCATTAAAAGTACTTTTTAAATTTGCCATTGTATTTTCAGTTGGGACTACTGTAATGTAGTGTTTGCAGGCTAACATATTAAGACTGTACAAGAAAGGAATACAAGTAAGTACATCTGAAGCGCCATGAAATGTGGCAAATACTCGATTTGCTTTATATTTGATTCTGTTGATTTTTATCAACTGTACTGCCGTGGGCGTTCACCCACATCAACGCGGAGGTCGGGGTTTATAGCTACGCCTTTGACCTTCGCGACCAGGCACACCGTGCTCCACATTTTCCAACATATCTTACTTCAGATTATTTCCCTACCGGATTGAAACCGCACAAAATTCGTCAGGGCCAGCGTGATTTAAACCGCTGTTTAACGCTAGCCGAGCCGCTTTCCCGCCCTCCGGAGTCCGTGAGGAAAGGCTCCCGCGCTGCCCGCCGCTGCCGGCCGGGTGTCCCTCACCTCGCCCTTCCCCAGCGCGGAACGTTTTGAGGCCGGAACTTTCCGCTTTCCGGCTGGCTGAGTTTAAAAAAAAAAAAAAAAAAGACACCAAAATAGACACCACCCACCCAGAAGCGCCGTCTCCCCGCCGCGGCGCCTGCTGGGGGACGCGGTTGCGCAGGTTTTATTCCTTGTCCGCCATCGCCGGGCCATGTACCGGCAGAGCTTCCGCCCGCCGACCCCTCCGTACGCGGGCGGCGGCGGCGGGTTCCGCAGCCCTCCCGCCGCCGGCGGGGGCCCGCTGCCGCCCTCCCCGCGGGGCTACGGGAGCCCCCGGCACACGCCGCCCTACGGCCACCCGCCCGGGCCGCCCGGCAGCGGCCGCTCGCCCCGCGGCCACGGGCTCCTCCATGGCGGCGGGCGGTTCGGGAGCCCGTCGCCGGGGGCGCAGACCCCGCGCAGGCCTCAGAGCGTCAGCCCCCGGTACCCGGCTCCTTACGGCGGCAAATCCCCTGCCGGAGCCCCCCTCCACCCGCAGCAACAGCACAAGCGCTCGCCCGGGGGCTTCCAGAGGCACTACCAGGTATGGGGCAGGGCGGGGAGGGGAGACGGGCCGGCGGCGGGGCGGGCGGGAGGGAGGGGGGGAAGGAAGGAAGCAAGCCGAGGGCTTGCGGCGAGTCGCAGCAACCATCCCCTCCGCCACGATTTTCCAGGGGAGGGCGAGGCCGGGCAACATCTGCCTTCTCCTCGGCAGAGAGGATGGAGTGGAGGCAGCTGTGTGAGCAGGAAAGGGAAGAGGGCCCCAGGCCTGGCGGGAAGACGGAGGGACTCACAAGAGCGGGGCTTTCTGCCTTTTCATACTCTGCCATGCGAAGGTAGAGAGGAAAGGAAGCACCACCCAAAGCTGCAGCGAACGCCTCTTTCCCTTCTGTGTGCCTCCCTTTGTTGCGTTTTCTTCAGCACAGCGGCGAAGCGCAGTGTGCTTTTACTCGCCTGCCATCACAGAAGCTGCCCTGGCCACACACAGAGCTCCCCGGGACCTGAGTAAAGGAGTGCTCCATTAAAGAGAACCAAGCTGAGGCTCCTTTAAGCACAAACGATAACAGAATATGGTTTTAAAGTTTTTGCACTGCACTGAAAACTTCAGTTTCTAGGCAGTAGTTTTCCTGAGAGCTATCAACAACAGGTTCTGTGAGTTACGCTTTTTTCAGGTGCTTTAGTTGGGGCGTGTGACTGGCAATGCCAACAGGGATGACAGTTCTTGGGAGGATACCAACTTTATGTTCGTAGCTGGCTTTGTGCAAGATTAGAGGAACCTTAAAAGTGTAACAAATGATACGTGCAGTACAACTTTTCAGGTGCTCTTACAGACACTTAGGGGATTCAAGTGTAATAATGAAGTCAAAATCGTAATAGAGATTAGCAAAGCCTTAATGTGCCTGCACAGTCATGTTTCTATCCAAAAATAGTTTTTGGTTACTTTTTTATGGTGCAGATTAACTACCTTAAAGGAATCTCAGAGTTGATGGAAAGGGATCATTATGAGCTTTATACATCCTCTTCAACACAAAAGCAAAGGTTTTCCCAATGTGGAGGCCTACAGACTGCTTAACCTCTGTACCTGTTGAAAAGGCAAAGGATGTGGGGTTTCTGCTGCAGGTTCCGGAGGGATGGTTTATGTCACCAATACCTAATTTCCTTTCAGAAGATCACTCTTTGGATATTCAATTAAATGTTCTTTAAAAGAAGCCTGCCTTAACTGGCTCCTTAATGAGGAGCTTTTCTGTAGTTAGGTGTCAAAGTGATGTGGAGAAGGCTGGTTTGGTTTTCCTTACCCTGGTAAATCATTGCTAATAATTAAAAGTATAATAAATAATATCTGACTAAACTTAACTAGTTTTAGTCAGAACCCTTTCATGCCGAGACCTGTGGGCAGGAAAAGCCTCACAGGCTCCATTCTTGGTGTTAAGGTAGAAACATGACATAGAAAAGGTACCAGTTTGAATCTGGTCTCAGATTGTCACAAGATCATGTCCATTCTCCCCTGCTGCAGCCCTTGTGAGTAGTTCAGGAGCGCTGACCTGATGGTGATGCCATCTAAGATTATAAAGACATTGTACGTCTGTAGCATTGCCCAGGACCGAGATGATGTGTATGCGTGTGCTTCTGCACCTATACACGTGTGGGTTTTTTGCCTGGGAGGGCAACAGAGGCAATCACAGAGGGACAAAGTCTCATAAACCATGAGTCCCCATTTTTATCAATGTGGGCAACAAGAATCTCAGTCCACGAGGCCATGAATAGAGTCAGGTAGAGTGATTTTTTTGCATTTTGTAAGCGTCGGATTTCTTCTGAGGTATGTGGAATGTTCCTCTCTCTTCTGTAGATGCTATTGTTAAGACAACTACAGTGCTTTTGAAATTTATGATGCTTCTGTCACCTTCAAGATGAAAGTCTTAAATGACCCTTTAAAATCCCATCAGGAAATCCAAAAGACAGTTTATTTTTACTTCAGTGTTCTATTAACGTCAAAAAGCATTCTGTGCTTTTTGTGCTTGCAGGCTTTCATTCTTTGAAATGAACAGAAAACTTAAAAACATAGTAAGCTTGATTTTTCTGAAGTGGCTGGCTTAACCTTTATGTGGCCAGGACTTTACGGACCTTTCTGTCTTTTTGCACAGAGAAGCATCTGCTTTACATTTTATGAAAACACGTTCTATTTCTTGAAGAAATAGTTCGCTTAGCAGTAGTGTTTCTCTTTCTGCACTCAGTGGGAGTTAGTGAACTAGCTAGAAGCAGCAGCAAGTTAGTGGTGATAGGTTGAAAATTATTACAGAAAATTAACAAAAATATATATATTTTGAAACTGTACAGTCATTATTTTTGTGTTTCTGTGCATCTGCCAGCAGCTAAAATTAACATCAAGTGAAGGAAGTTGATAAAGGGAGCAACTCTGCCCATTTTCAAGGCAGTATTACCCCATTCAGGAACACATTAATGAATAGCACCAAAAGATGTTCTTTTTCTACAGTACAGAGTGATTTGTTACCTGGAAAAAAAGTATTGAGAATAGATTGGTTGGGTTTTTTTAAGGAAAGTTGGGTGAGAAAAGGCTGTTGGCACCAGGGACAGCACAATAGAAAGCTTTTTTCAAGGCGTCTTTGGCACCAGTTTGTCTTGCACAGAATGGTTTCATTTACACAGGTAGGGCTGTTTTCCTTTTCCACAGGCCTATAATATCAATAATCACATTTAGATTTTTTTTTTTTTCCTACAAAAAAAGAGAGGGGAAAAAAGTATTCTAAATTTTAAAAAAAATCTACCTGCTGAAATGTAACACTTACTGAACGCCGTCAATCTTCTATTAATAATACCTTTCCTGGCTTTCAGACATGCTAGAACGTCAGCATTACTGATGGCCTGCATCATAGTGAAATTTATTATTATAAAATAAATCCATCCAAAGCAGCCTTACCATTGAATTATTATGTTCTGTCACTGGATACTGCAGATAGTAATGTCAGTTCAGCTTTCTTTTGAGTTCTGCAGATTAGATTTAACATTATTAAATCAACTCTACAGGCAAACTGTTTTACAATGTCAAAGTTACAGGGTGTCCATTAAAGACGATGTTTTAAAGAGTTACTTTTTTTATTATTTTGAAAAGAGAATGCACTGTGTACTACTGCTTTATTATTAAATGTGAGTGCTTAACATAAATGTCACATTTGCTAGTGCATGTTGACTTGCTCTAGGAAACTCCGTGTCCCTTAGAAAGTTTTTTAGGCGTATTCTCAGGTGATTCTCTGATCTTACTCTCAGGGTTTTAATACAATAAAGTAATTCTCTACCTTTTAGTAAATTTTTCCTGTTTTGAGATCATCATCTTAGCTACATAACCTAATTGCACTATGACGAATCATTAGAAACAAGTGCCTTGTCAAGAAGACGTTGATGTTCCACATTTGGTTGTGTATCCGTTATCATCAAGCTTTTGAGGAGTTCTAGAAAACTTACCAGGACCACACAAGCAGGCTGCTGCCACAGCACGTTTTCAGAAATATGTTGAAGTAGTTTCAGTGGAATCTGTTCTTCTGGCTAAGCACAGGGGCCTTCACTGTATGGCACCATTTCTCAGTTTTACCCAGAAATTGTTTCAGATCATCTGTTCACATAGATTCTGTAGGGTTTATTAGTCCCATCTGGACACTGTCACTGCTGGCCCAGAAAGTCTGGGGGTGGGAGGGGGGAAGGCAGCCCTTAATCGGCGCTTTGACCCTCCTTTACAAAGTCAGAGACTGATAATCAGCCACAAGGAATCCTGTTCTAATGATACAGAATACAACAGGCACATTTGGAGACTAACTGTTGTGTATCTGTAGTACAGGTTGTTTAACTTGGGTTAAAACAAATGAGTTTACGCTAGTATAGCTCTAGATAAAACCTCACTTTTTAAGGAAGTGAATCTGAGGAAAAGAACAATGGCTGATGGTAACAGGACAAAATGGTTATAGTGATTTCCTTTATGTCATGCCTCTCTTTAAGTTGCAGACTTGTAGCACATTTGCAGAAGCAACTGGGGTGATCTTTGTTCTTTAAAAAGGCATCCAATATCAAAAGCTTCGTGCAAAAAGTTTTTCTTTTATGTAATACCTACTTAATCACTGATTACTGTTCAAATTGTGTATAAAATAAAGTTATATGTTCTCAAATTTCGCAGAATACTAGTTTGGTTAAAGCAGTATTTTTGCCAGTAAGTTCTTGGGGTCATTTGTAGCTATTTGTGTTATATAATGCTGTGTTCAATCTGTAAGTACGTAATATCTGACTTCTGCTCTTGTAAACTTTATCAATTCTTCCTCGGCCTCTAACTCCCTCTTTTGTTGTTCAGCTTTTGAGTTAGATGTGTCATCGACTTACGAAAAATAGCATGAGGAGCTTTTCTGTAGTTAGGTGTCAAAGTGATGTGGAGAATGCTGGTTTGGTTTTCCTTACCCTGGTAAATCATCGCTAATAATTAAAAGTATAATAAAATTAATATCTTCTAATGAAGATGCAAGTGAGGAGTAGTAATTATCATTATTAATGAGCTTCAAAGCTCTGCTACATTAGGAGGAAACTTTTTTTTTTAAGTTTGAATTAGTCTATTAAATGTTTCTTTACCTGATGGTTTTCTTCCAAAGGGATCACCCAGGACATCTACTCCATTTGGTACAGCGCATGGCAGAGAGAAAAGAGTGTCTAATGATGTGGAAAACTATTACAGACCTTCAATGCTTGAGGACCCATGGGCTGGCCTAGAGCCAGTTTCTGTTACAGACATAAACCAACAATACAGCAGTGAGCAAACAACATATACTGGTAAAAAAGGGAGGTATTTCAGCTAACACTTTTAAAGGCCAAATAACTCCATCTTGTCAGGAAAACTTTGGGAAAAAACCTTTACTCTTACACAAGATGAACAATAATCAAGACCTTAGATAATGCTTTTATTTGATCACATGTCCACCCTTTTATCCTACTTTTTCTTTTTAATTGCATTGGATATTTTTATGTATGGGAGGGAAAAAGGAGTGGTAGGAAAACTTACATTTCTGGCTACGTGGAAGTGCCTACCAGCTTTGAAGAACAAAGTGTTCTTTAATCACCAGCGACTGATTTGTGACTGTTAAAACAGGTCTCCGTATATTACCTCTTCCATGCCAGATTGTTAGCCTTTTATTGTAAACTCCTTTAGGAAATGGTATTTTTTTATGTTTCAACATTTTTAGAGTGAATTAACTTGGAAATAAAATAAAGTTTTGTAAATCCTTGTTTTTGTAATGTATAAAGATTATTTTAGGACTTTCGTTAAGGTGTACACACTAACGCAAATAGTACTAGAGAAATTAGGTAACTTCTGTAAATGTGCTTGTATGCTGTAGTTAATATCTGATTTTGTGCACAGTATCTTTTGTTAATTGTAGTGTAACATGAAGTTGAAACGTGACTTTTAGCCATCTCAGGAAACAAATGTATTGTGTTTGCAAAGTTTCATTTGTTGAACCAGCTCGAGTCATAAACATAATTCTGTCATCACTTGCTTCTGTATTTTAAAAAAAAAATATATATATTTGGAACAAAATTAGACATTTCTGGATTATAGTAACAAGTCTGTTCAGTGGCAGTTTAAATCTAAGTAGGACATCAAACATGAAGATGAAATAAATGCAAATGTACTTTCTGGATCCATCTATTAGAACAGCATAGAACGAATGACGGTACGTTATATCGTTGACATGAGTACGTGCATAGCATCTTTTTTTCTAACCTGTACAAGATTTTCCAATTTTTTTAAAATTATTTTTTATTTTAGCCTATAGCAGGCATCTTTGCCTAGTGAACTCCCCGTTTGTATGCATGCATGCTATATTTTTATACTGAAGAGGAAACAATGAGGGTTTTTTAGACCTTGTCTAGACATGCAAGATCCATTCTTAAATCCAGTAGTAAGTACTGTAAGCTAGAATAAATAAATAGCTCCAGCTGCAGGCATGTTCTTAGCATGCTGTGTTAAGCCTGCGGTAGATATCTAAATGTTTGTTGAACATACCATTATTTGTTTGTTGACCTTGGCTTTTAAGCAGTAGGTAGAGGGTGAAAACCTAGTTAAAAATAAATAGAAGCATTAGTTCAGTTTTTAAAATTTATGTTTTGTTCTGATCTTATGTACTTCACAGAAAACATATTTTTGTAGTTCTGAAGCATGGTTAGGTAGAAAAGCCACAGGGAATCAAGTTATAGACTGTTCTTAGTAACTCATCTTTTGCTGAGATAGAATAGTTCTATATGCTTCCTTCTCTGCTTCAGCATAAAACGGCTTGGGTTTTATTATGCTTCAGCATAATACTGCCTTCAGAAACAACTTCAGAACTGGAAGGGAGGTTAACACGTTGAAATGGGGTAGCTGAGGCTCCTGCACTTTTATGACCATAAGCTAAAGTTTGGCACTTGTGGCTTCCCCCTGTTGACCTTATTGTTTTAGAACTCTATCCAAAAAAGGCTGCTCAGAGAACTGAGAATATAATGCCAGCTTAATATCAAGAACAGTTAATACTTCACCCCAGAATCAGAACTGTGCCTTAAATGGCAGCTGTCAGCATTGTCACCTGTAACGCGTACCAGCAAAACTGAGATGACCTGACGAGTCATAGATAGTCTTTAGAATTTATAAATCAACTAATCAACGTCATTGTGAAAAGCAAAGTATGAAGTTTTCTTTCCTTTTTTTTTTTTTTTTTCTAATTAACCTTGTCAGATGCTGTAAAGCTCACAAAAAAAAGCTAGAGGGTGCTTAACTGAGTCACCTTGTTTGTTACTGTTTCCTTTAGAATTCAGTGCAGTTTACTTTTCACGTGTTTGGTGATCTTGGGGAAACAGACACAATTTAGTTTAAGAGATTAAAGCTATGCCATGTTCCCAGTCAGACCTGAGAAGAAACTGGGTTTCGAAAGGAGGAAGGAAAGGAAAAGGATTCGTGACAGAAGAGAGACTGAGAAGTGGATCTGCTTATGCAGTAGCCAGTATCGGCAGCCCTTGCACATTGCAGAGATGCATTTTTCCACTTTGGCTTTGCAGTTGACCCAGGGATCAAAGCCAGCCTCCTCTGGTAATAACTGTTGACACACAGTTCCACGAGTTAGACATCAATGAAGGTAAATGTTCCAGAAAGAGAATTGAGGAAATAATCTTGAAGCATTGTTTAATTAATACAGGCCTTCCACAATGCCATCTGTTAAGCTGCTGCTCCCCTGCACTTCAGGATATGACACAACAATTATGAGTACATCCTACTGCTAAAGACTCCAATAATTTGGTCAAGAATCTGCAAGGAGTTAAAATATAGATATAACAAAGTTATTAACCTCATCATACTGCACCAAAAACTTAAAAATTACTCACCTTTCTCGCTTCTAGGAGAAGTACTGCAATTACAGTAAAACTTCAAAATGTCATTGTTGAATAACTGTAAAATGCATGAACACATGTTCAGAACTATAAATATAATGTACTTAAAGCCAATTTAAGCTTTGCCTTTTTTGCTGTGATAACCAGGAAGCTTAAACACTTACTTCCTCTCTGATTTTTCTCCTTTTTCCCATATGGCAAACATTCTTTTTCCCCACGTGTTTTTAATGCAGATAGGATGTATCACGTCCTCATTTGTTAATGAAGACACTTCACAGTAACTGTATGGCTCTGGAAATAGCATTTGATGATTAAAAAGTACAGCACGAATACATCCTTTCTTCATGAGCCCAGGAAACAAAATAGTGCCTGTGTCTTGTTAACAAAGGGATCCTTCGGTAATGAACACACTAAGAATATGGGCATTGTTCTTTCTTCAATACTCTACTTAGATTTTAAGGTAAGTCATTTAGCTCCTCCTTCAGGAGTTCAGATGGATGTACTACTATTCCATTCCGTTCTGCTTGCGCTGTGTTTGTCCATCAGGTCTGTCTCACTTTCCATACAGTTGTTGTAAATGGAGCTGTTCGATAACTCATGACTAACTCTCTTCTAGAAAAAAAAAAAAAAATCCTTTGTTGCTGTTTGCTACTGTGTTTAACAGTGAACTGCATTGCTACTCCATTGTGCTAATATCAGTAAGGTAACTGAAGTCAGCTGAGTACAACTCTGTGTAAGGCGGCAACCCGTGGGGTGGGGAGTCACCCCAGGTTGTGTACTGTACTCCTTCAGAGATAGTTCAGCTTTGGGTTTTCGCTGAGACTTTATAACATGGAACATTCATTCTTCTCCGGCACTTTGTACACGCTTTCACATTGGAATTGCAAAACAATTTAGAATGTGAAAATGTCGATTAAAACAGGATTGTAAAAATCCATATCAAGCTAATTCTCTTTAGAATTGGCAATAAGGCATTGAGATGCAGCGGTTTTCTACTGTCAAGACTGGGAACACTTTGCAGGGGAAATGCCTCTGGTCAACAGAATGGCTACCTACTTTCGCAGTGTGGTTGTTTTTCTTTTCCTGTTAAGGATATCTTCATGTGCTCTTCGCTTTGTATAAATGTGTTAATTAGACATCTGAGGGGGAGCGTTTGAAGAGTGCATTATATGGAAAGTACAAGGAGCTATTCAGCCCCCTTCTAAAGAAACGCTTTTATAGTCTGTCTGGGTTTCAAGTCATGATTCTGAGTAATCTCACTGGTGTCAGGATTTGCTCATGCAACCAAGATACGTAAGTATCTAGCATTACTGTTTGAAAATTGTATCATCCTTTTGTCTGCCAGTGCTTTTTACCAACTCTACAATAAACTGCTCTGTTTAGCAATTGCTCTGCATTCAGATTCATACACGTGCTTTCATACTTGAGCCAAGACTCTCTTGCAGCAAATTAAATTTGTTTTCACAACGTTTTCTTAAATTCTCCAGAGTAAAGACTTTGTTCTCCTTTCCCCAAATCTTGGCACTTACCTTCATCCCATCTTCCTTGTACTGGGGGAGAAAATGGAGAATTGCCTACACTGATCGGTGAAGAAGCATGTCGTGATTTTCCTGTCTCAGGCTTTCAGAAGCTTGTGTACCAATTGACATGGATAACTAGATAAACTTTTTTATTATTTGAGATGCCTCAAATAACTCCTTACACCACAAGAAAGGAAAGAAGTCAACAAGTTGTGTTAATGCTTGAGAGTAGTACAGTTCCAGCATCCAGTCATTAGTAAAGAGTCAGTTTTTTTCCCTGCAGTAACTTTTCATCTGAATATCTCACTAGGTACAAATGGAATCTGTTTAATTTTCTGCAGTTTTCACTAAGATATGTAAACTTAAGAGTTTAAGAACACTTTCTCAGCCTGGACTTCTGAATATACCTTCACAAAATTCCCAGCTCTTGAGTGTTAGACCTCAAATCTAGGCCTTCCCTTTAAAGCATTTTAGGTCTGGCTGGAAGAGCTTTATCTCCTCGTTACTTCCTTGATGACACTAGGAAACTTTTCACTACAGGGCTAGAAACAGTTGGGCAGGTGCTCAGTGCCAGAACAGGGGTGTCAGCCTGCCTCTCCTCTCCCCCACGTTACCCCTAGTTTCTTGCCACTCAGGGGCGGTGGGGCCCGGGAGGTGGTTTGAGCCACACAGTCACCCATTTTGCTTCACCAGCTCTTGGAGGGTTGCAGCACTTCAAATCAGCGGTTTGTTCAGTGCACATCCTGGATTTCACATTTAACCAGCATGATAAATTCCGGTGTGTAGTCTTAACTCCTAAAACTGTTGCACGTTCTCTTCTGCAGTAAAATCACAGGTGAGTTCCACTGCCCTGTGCTCACTGATCTGTGGCTGTTCCACATGCCTTTTCGGAATTATAAATGTAAACATTTGTATACAAGAAAGTAACTTCTGTGCCTGAAAGGGGTCATACCAGTACAGTTTGAAATTTTTAATACTGTTGACACTACTGCTATTAAAATAAGACCTTCTCCACCTCCCTTTAACAGGGCAAAAATGAAGCAGAAAAAAAAAAAAAAAAAAAAACAGTTGAGATGCTGAGCTGGAAACTATGGTCTGCACAGCGTGAGGTGGACTGCATGAGTAGGGACATCGTTACAGTTCAGCACAACCTGTATCGGCCCATTTCTGGACTGGAAATAGAATAGGTTTTTTAACAAAGAGCTGGAAAAATACCATCCCCATTCACTAACAAGACAGAAAAAGGTATTTCTCAAAAATTACCTTACACACAAAAGAATTCTTCCGAAGCCTCACAAACTGTGAGACCCGTCGTCTTGTTCTCTTTCTTCAGGAGAAGCACTGGCTTGTTACCAAGAACTTCAAGGCTTCCCATGATGTGAACTTAGTCAAAGCCATCACATCACCGTCTGACCTGTTCTCGGACAAAAGGGAAAAGTCTGGTTTACATACATTGTTGAACACACTAAATTTCACAAAACGGTAGGCTGTACTATTCACTGCATGTGGAGAGCTTTTGACACTAGATTATCATGTATTTCTTAAATTTTTAGAGTGTTCCTGCATTTTGATTTCAAATGTCACTATTCTTTTCGGCAGTAAAAAAGTTATACCTTCAAGTTCTACCAGGGAATTAATTTTCAAATACTGAAATTCCCACAGTTGATTAATTCCGAGTATTAATTTTTTCCAGGTAACAGTAACACAACTATGGAAGATGTATTAAATTTATATCTTTTTTTTCCCTACGCACAAAAGAAAAAAAAAAAAATTACTTCAGATGTCAATTCAAGTAGTGAGGTCAGTTGGGTAGGGTAGTTCAGAAGAATCTGAGGCTCCTTCCTTTCTTACCTGAAAGAGCTTAGGTGTTCCAGAAGGGGCCAGCAGAGCTCGCCCGGCCGGCGTGCTGGGTCGGAGCCGCTGCAGCTGAGATGCCAGGATGGAAATAACGGTGGACGACACGGGCAGGGAGCTCGGTGCACCCCGGTGTCACCTGTACGAGCCCACTTCCAGACTGCAGCTACACGGGGATCCTAACGAGGACACAACGAGCACGACCCCTTCCCTCCCACACACACCTCAAGGGATTTTTTTGTTTTCTAAGCCTACAGTCAGCCGCTATGTTATTTGGGCCAAGGATAAGAGAATTTAAACTGTTCTGTCGTTTATTTATTAGTGATGGCATCTTAGGAGGCAAAGAATGCGACATCACGTCAAGCTGAAATTTTTAACACGGTTGTGTTGTATTTTTGTGCACCAAAAATCCGCGTGTACTACCCCGCTTTGATGGGCAGCGGTGAGCACGCTGCATTAAAATACAGCTAAACCTTCTGGTATCCATATGTATTTTGCCACAATCCAATTGCAGTGTAGTAAAGATAGTTAAAAGCTGTTCGTGTCGAGTCAACGAGCGTTTGCTTTGGGTTTAAATCCTTGTAGTTTGCATGAGGAAATTCCCGAGTTCAAACTGCTGAACATGATGTCGATGCCACTATTAGTATAAATACTAATAAGTTACGTCAATGCCACTATAAGTACTAATAAATGGAAGAACAAAACTTCTTTCACGCTGATGCAAATCATCCCCTTTTCAAGCATCACACAAGCTAATGCTGAAACAAGGGAGAAGGAATCAAGCTAATTGACAACTCCTGTGGATGACTACACAGCATAAACCACAAGTAACAGAGCAAACATAAGCTTTAAAATCACTGATTGCCAACTGGGGAGTAGTATCAACAGTAGTTGGACTGTAAGCAGTAGTTGCACAGCATTTTAAAAATCAAACCACTACCTCCTGTGGCTTACTGAAGATATTTAGGTTAAAGTAAATAAGGCTTTGAGCTGTGTTCCCTTAACAGATGTTAGGAATTAACATTCCTACAGCTGAGTTTGCAGAAGAAAGTAAATATCTTCACCACTTGTCTGTGAAGTCTAGCGTCTTTGCCTAAGTGTCATCGCGTCATTATTTCTTTTTTTAAGGTAAGGTAAAACTGTGCACTTGAAAATACTGGGGGTCGTCACAAGGATGAAAGGGAGAATTAGCATCTGCAAATGGTCCAGGTGTGCAACTTGAGTTGCTAATTGTAAGGAGGCACCGAGTGTCCATCTATTGATTACTTGGCATTCCTCTTTCCTAAAGCTATTATTTCCCTTATCTGTAAATTTTTAATAGACTCCTGGTTGCTATGGCAATTAAATTACACCAAGGACAATTATTTGGTTGTGCATTTGCAGATGTGAAGAAAGCAGGAGGTGTTTTTGCGGACAAAAGGTTGAGAAACGGTGATGGCTGTTTTCAAGTGAATGAACCGCCACATTGCGTCCGTGTTGGACCCGAAGGCAGCTTACACCACCAGCAGTGTTCCTGTACTTAGAATAGCTTCCAAAACAAAGCTCCAAGTATGGAGGAAACTTGCGCAGAGAACCTTTAAATCCCTGTTTTCAGGGTAGCTAGTGCATCGGGTTGCATTTTTCTGACACTGTGTAATTTCCTCTCCAAATAATTGCTGGCAGTTTTATACCTGGGCGCTCCTGTAGCCTGGCATCCTCGCTGCTGCGATCGTCTGTGCTTTGTGGATATACAACTGGTGATGGCCCAGTTCAGTTTCTCTCTGCTATTAGATCGCCCCAGTAAATAGGTGACAGAATTCTGTTTTCATTAACCAAATCTCTACCATTTATCTTCTTACAGCTTGAAGATAATCCATTAATAAACACATCCACAAGGCTTTGTGTACATTGTATTTCAGGCAAGCAGTGTAAAGGAACCTACCAAAAGTGGGTTGTTTTTCTTTTGCCCCACTCCCCTGCCCCTTAACTCCATCCAGAGAAGATAACTTGGGTAGTTTTACCATAATTTTTCCTCTCCACTGAGTCTTCAATTGTCTCTTTTCCCCCATCTTTTTTTTCTTAGAACTGTCTGTACACCAGCTGTATGTTAAGGCTTTTCCGCACAGGTTTCTCCATGGAAATCAGCCTGCTGTTCCCACGCCTTCCGTGGGAATCGGCTTGATCCACCCGTCAGGGCTCTGCCACCAGGAATAGTCAGCTGGAGGGTTTGGTGCAATCGGTGCCACTCAACCCCCCCCCCAACATGCCCAGTCCACTAAAGGTGCCGTTCATTCACACTGCTGGAGATGATGGAACTACGTCAACAAGAGAGGCGCCCGCAGATCCTCCCGGCTCGCCGCGGTGGGCCGGGTGCTGGACCCTGTGCTCAGACGTGCAGGGAGAACCCAGCAGGGCAGACACGGCCTTGCCGGAGTGGCCGCCCTTTGCTCTCCAGGTGAAGTTCTCTGCTGAACTCGCAGGCGAGCGGTGCTCCCGTCCGTGCTAAGCACTGCAAAGATAGAGGCAAAGTCACTTCTCAGAGACAACAGAAAAAGTGTGCAGAAAAGGGCATGGGCAAGCAGTGTCATCGTGATCCCAGTTCTTCCTGCTAGCTTCCCAACACAACCATCTCTTAACTACTCGTATTTCCATTCGGCATATCCTTGTTGATAGCACACCGAGCTGGAGGGAGGAAAACTACCTCATGAAATCATAAAATCAGGTCCTCTCCCTTCAGCAGCCAGAGAACATAGAGTTTTCAGTCCATGAGTGACAAGAAAGCAGAAGTGCATTTCTGAGAGAGGTGAGTTTTGTGAGCAACAGAAAGCCTGTCTGCATAGGGACCTTTTCTGTTCAGCATATTTAATCAGGTATTGTCAATTAAAAAAAAAATAGTTCCACTTCAGACCAGCCCCAGTTACTTCAGTGCTTAATTCTACTTCAGCAGCATTTAAACAGCCAGAAGATCTGCTACGGAGAGACTGTTCTCAGTCTTGTAACCTTTGCAATGAGCAGAAGGAAAAAACCAAGGTCCTGATGTCATTCTAACTGTATTGATGCATCGGAGAAAACCAGCAGAAACACATGTAATCGAAGGATACGCCTTTAGCAGCAAGTAGTCTGTTGCTACGTAAGCATCCCCAAATAAATGACCCAATTCCTGGAGTTACTTACGGGCCTGGGGAGGAGCATGGGAACAGCAGACTTCACCCGCCAGCACCTCCTGGCAAGGAGACTCTGGAGGGGAAAGTTCCGCACCACGAGAAGCACAGCCTTCCCCTTGGAGTTCAGCGTCAGCCGCCTTCAGGGCTTTGCAGCGTCACGAAGCACCAGCACGGCAGGCAGGCAGGCGCTCAGAAAGCATTCCAAGTCTCCCCGTAAGTGACATGAAAGAGCAGCAAGATCGAGAAAAAATATTAAGACCTGCCTTCATTTCTTTATTCTGTTTCTTCACAGGCTCCACCACGTTCTTTGTGGCCAAGTCTTGCCTTTGCTCCGCACTCCCACCAACTACTCCCGTGTTCTTTTTGTGGCTGACACTCCACTGGAGCCCAGTGTTTCTCTCTTAAAACACTTCTTCTCTTTTGTGACTTAAGCCATCCGTAAATTATCTTCTTCAGAGCTGTCTGTACCACGAGAAGGTTTTTCCATCCTGCAGTGATGAGCACAGTTCCTCTGGTTCTCCTGACAAAGCAGATCGTGCAGGTGCGTTCAGATCAAACCAAGTTAGAGCTTGGATAGTTGCAAATGTGTTTCAAACTAAATTTTCTGATGTCTGAAACAAGAAAGCTAATTCAGGTGAGCTTTTTCAACAGTGAATCTCAGGACAGAAGCTGTCCGTAACCTCCCTAGTAGTAATAATTCTGCTTCCAAAGTGATCTGCAAAGGTTACCTCCATCTGTAAGCTCTCTGCATCTTCCTCTTTTTCTTCCTGCAGATTCTTTTCTGATTCCTGCTTCATTATCTTTGTCCTGAGCACCTGTTGGATTTTTTTAAAACGTATTACTTCTTTTTACTAGTTGCAAGTGTTAAGCATCTTTCAAAAAGGTAAAGAAAAATTAAAAGTTCCGAGCAAAATCTATACATATGGAGTCCCAAAGAGTGGGTGAAATAAATAGCTTCAATGATGCTCCTTTGTTAGGAGGAATGGGACACACACCTTTTCAGTAAAATGTGGATTCCATAAACTAAAGCAGTATGTGAAATATTACGGAGATGTGTAATATTTAAAGATCTCAGGTGGCAGACATGCCAGCATCTATCAGTTGAAGTTGATCCCAAGCCTAACCACTGTCGCATAGAAATCTGCTTTCCATACAGGCTGGCTGTGTCTAATATTAGCTTCCATCAGTGGATTATATTTTACATTTTTATCTTGTGTTAGAGAGTCACGTACTGAATTCTTATTCATGGTAGGTGACCAAATAGCATTTGAACATTCTCAGCAACCATTAAATATACCCATTAAGTCACGTTTTTCTAGGACTAGATTGTTATTCTGTTTTCTGAAGCTTTTCGAGTGAGTTTTAAAGCAATGGTTTCCTTTCATTAAAATCACATACTAGTGTCCTACTGGTTAATATTCTTCTGCTTGTGTTGCATAGGAACCCTTAGTTTCAGCATCACACGGGAAGGTAGCAGTCCTTTTCACCATCACTTCAGTGCAACATTTTGCATCTCGTAAACGTGACCAAATTCACTGATACTTTATGAGCGATTTTACATTTCACTGCATAAAAATATTAAGGTATGTGCTCCACATTTCTCTGTGTTCCCTCAGTGCAATGGTTAAAATAGCATCTAAAATAAAAACACCTTGAATACCCCAAACACAAACATCCTAACGCTCCACATACTAACCCTCTTAAATTTCCATCGTTATCTACCACATCTTGCATGTCTTCGTTACATTTAGGCCTTGAAAAGCAGCATTTGCAGTTGTTGTCTTACAGGCAGAAAGAGTTAAAACAATTCATAGCTTTTTCTTGGAATTTCCCTTTCCTCCCCGGAGGGAGAGGAGTGTCCTGGAGGAATGCAAACACAGACATCTGCTTGCCTTTTAAGAACAAAAAGCATCCCACAGGGTCAGACCAGTCACCCCAGTCCCTCTGCCAGCCCCTCGAGCTGCCCCGCGGTCGGGCGAGGGGTGCTGGGGTGCCTGTGCCTGAACAGTCTTTGCTAATACTCTTGTTGAGTCTATCTAATGATACAACTCAGTCTTTTAGAATATAGTACCCCCCCCAATTTACTCCTCTCAAAAAATTACCAAATTTTCTACAACTAAATCAGCCAAGTATGTATGGGAAATTGTGAAGCGCAATAAATGTTTATGTCATGAAGAGCATTCAGCTAGCATTATCTACCTGGGGGGGGAAAAAAAAAAAAAAATAATCAGGGTGATTGCAAGACACAGTGTGGTATTTCAGTGGATGCCTACGACTCTCCATCTCCCATTTCTGTTTGAAGGTGCAAACAATCCCTTTTTAGCTAATTTAGAAATCAGGGCTCATCTCTAATTAGTTTGCCTCTCTCTTGCTCCAGACAGCCCAGTGTGAAAGATCTGAGCGAACAGGAGAACAATAATGCGCAGTTCTAGAAATAGCTTTAATCCCTATATCCCTCTAAACAGAAATTCACTTCACAGATGTAAACATTTCTTTTAATACAAAGTTAAACCAACGCATTAATTACATTTCATTAAGCATCACATCAGCCTTTAGAGAGGGTAACACTGTTATTCCACCAGTTTACAAACGGGAGAATTAAAGAATAGCAGGAGAAGGTGCCTTGGTTAAACATTGTTATTTAGCGGCAGAAGACAACCTGGTGTTTTCTGCCCTCCCTACTGCATTCCCTAAAGCTGATTAATTGACATTTTCAGAGCAAGTTTCAACCTCATCGCCTTCCTGGGCGGAGGGATGCCGGCGAAAGGCAGCCTTGCTTTCCAACACGCACGAACCATAAATGGTAGCTTTTTGATTTTGTGAGCATCTCTGTGCCGTACCTATTCATTAAATATTCCAGATTCGGATACAAGTCTGCAAAACCACTTGCATTTTCCTGAGTATCTTTCAGATTTGCTGTAGAGAATACAAATAGACTCAGAACCACTGCCCTTAACAAAAGAAATACACTTGTTAGCATTCAATGACTTGTTCCAAGTGAGAATCTCTGGTTTCTTTGATACTCCACACAGTTGTGTGGTTCACAGCTCTCAAGGAGAACTGCATTTCAAATCTTCTGTGTCCAAAATGAGTATGCCAAATTATACTTTACTTTTTTTTTTTAACGGAAGGTAGTGTTATTCCCCTCCCCCTCCCCAAAAAAAAAAAAAAAATTATTCAATAGGGAAATTCTGTCCCAGGAGAATTAAATGGAAAACCCTGCTGAAGTTAACAGGGGTTTGGATTTCAGCTTTTATCTGACCTAAAACCTGCAATGACAGCAGGAACAATTTCAAACCAAGAAAAGAGTCTCAGTTTTCATGCACAACACTATAACGCTACAACAGTGGAGGTCAGAGTCTCCTACGAAATAGAGAGGGATACTTGTACTATTGAGTTTCATTGCATGTGGCTATGATTTATGCTGTAATCAAAAGTATAGTGGAAGATTCTCGAGCAATTACCACAGAGTTAATCACTCTCTAGCTCTACTAGCCATTAATTTAATGAGGTGCTTTTTTGTTGTGGTTTTGTTTTTTGTTTTTTTTTGTTTTTTTTTTTTAATATTTCTTAGTAACTGATGGATGCCTCATCTGGCAAAGCACCTGCTCACTCATCTCCTGGAGATGAACATGGTTCAGCTTTTCAGATTAATGGATCAGAAAGCGAAATGCACCAGGTATTCTAAAATGCACAGTAGTAAGCTTTCCATGCTCCAAAACAGAAAAATAATCCACAAACTCAAATCCGCAGTCGAGGTTTCAGGTCTTCAAGTTTTTTTTGGTTGGGGATTTTGTTGGACGGGAGCTTTAAGTGGAATAAACTCTTTCTAGAGCATAAAACTGGCACCACAATAATTACAAGTCGTTTCACGGATCTTATTTTTTAAAAGCTACAGAAAAGCCCAAAAACGTGAACACATCACTAGCAGCGCTCAGGCTGTGGAGGCGCTGAATGTAATATTCCAACAACATGCAAAATACCGCGGTGACGTAGACGATGTTTCGTCAAACACAGCGTCTGCAATACAAGTGCTACAAACCTGGCTTCGTGCTGCTTCTAATGCCAGAGCGTTTAATGTCAACTTGAGCAGCTTTTTCCTTCCCACTTACAAACCGCTTGAGAACCGCTCTGAAGAACGGTAGGGGCTGCCCGCCTCATGGCACGCTTTGGAGCACTCGCGTTCCAAAAGTCTGACCAAGGCGAAATCTAACCCCCTTTGTTGGGTCTGTAGATGTGCCTGTGAATTTAAGAATGCTGCTGTCGATGCGTCGTCCCTCCTGTCCTGTGAAATCCTGCGGCAGGGTTACACGACTTGTCCAAGCGTCGTGCAGCCAGGCGGAACTGTCGGAGGAGGTCGAGCCCGGTCCCCGCTGGCCAGTCCCGGGGCAGCAAAGCAGGTGCCTGCGCCTGGGCGGATGGTTCTCTCTGCCCTCTGTAGGAAGTCGGCCAGTCGGCGCCTTTTCCTACAGCAGAAGCTGTTTTGAATATCAATGGCACTTAAAATACAGCTGGAAGTAAGATCCCCTCCAACGGAGCGGCAGTGAAGCGCGTGCACTTCACGTTCTTTGCATTCTGCCCGTGCCATCCTGTCCTTCTCCTGCCACCTGCAGTCTCTTCTGTTGTCAGGAGAAGGTTTTGGGATTTTTTTAATCAATCAGTATAACTGACCCTTCTCATTACATTTTTCTCCCCAAGTCTATAGAGGCAATTGATGATCTCGCCTAATATTTCAGCTACCAACTTTCTGATTTTGTTACGGACTGCAGTGGCTGTGTTGAATTCTCTTGGATGCTGGGTACTCCCCTTCTGCTCCTGCCACCACAAACATGTCATACGGGTGAAATACTTTGACAGAAACATATTTTAACCAAGTCAGGAGGACGCCTCCTACTGGGACTGTATCTCAAGTAATCGGATATTTTAGAGCTTTATGGAAATACACATTCAAGAAAAAAGACCACTTAGGTAGTCATGCCAGTTTCACAAAAAGATTTTGGTGAAACTTATGTTTTTCTTAAAATGTTGACATTTTCTCAATCAAAGATTTTTTTTGTTCAGCACTTCAAGTAGAATAACAGATGCTTTTAAACAAATGTTGCTTCAAAAAAGTAACTGAAAAGAATAATATTTTTTTTTACTTAGCAGCCTACAAACTATCTGCTGTGACACAGTATGGCTCCTTTTCTTTTTACATATAAATTTCATGCATACAAATCCATATTTAAATGAACGGTATGAAATTATGGTTCATATAAATTGCATACCTGTGTGCCCGTACTCTGAGCATACCAAAATAATAAGAGATAGTTAAAATTTGCTATCACAGACTTCATGTTAGTATATCCTTCCTGCATTTCACATTTACCCCTTCTACCTTATTTTCATCACGCTGTATCTAGCCACATATCCACATTAAAAAAAAAAAAAAAAAAACAGAAAAAAACTGGATTTCAGATGCAAAGTTACGCTTTGATTTACTGCATCCCATAATGAAGGGCATAACATAATAGTTTTTTAGAATACAAAAGCTCCGTAACACTGAGACCTTAACACAGGTGATGAGAAATGAAAAAGAGTCGAGAGGCTGTAAGATAGCAATAGATGGCAGGCGCTTCAATAAAGCATGCAGAAAGTTTCCCTGGATGTCAGTAAAGAATTTGCACTTTTACAGTTAAAACTGAAATGTTGTACTTAAAGGAAAACCAAAACCAAACCACAACAGAAAAACAAGCAAGCAAAATCCAAAACCAGACGGGAGCCTCCGAGGAGATCAGTTGAAGGAGAAGGCCACCTCCGCTTTATCTCACGCTAGAAACTGAAATAGGCTTGAATTTCTGATAGAACAGGTCTGCAAAATCCTATGAGATTTGGGGTTTTTGTCATTGTTCCCAAAAGGCAATATTGTAACTGCAATTACAGTTTGCAAATAAAAATTATCACTACTACCTGCATGTCTTCTTTCACTGTCTTGCATAATTGTATGTGCTTGCTGGGAAGTCTCGGAGCCGGATCTGCAATCCATAACGAGAAGCAACCTGGGGAGAAAAATGTACACAGCTTCTCATAACGTCTGCCAGGTTTAGAGTAATACTTTCCTCATGTGGAATCACCAGACCATCTGCAGATAAGTTTGTAACTATTATTTACTACCCCACTTCCCATACGCATCATTACTAGATTTCTGTTCATTTCCCATGTCTTCTCTAGTTCTTGGTCTGTTTTTCCACTCCAGCGAACAATTTTCACCACAATGTTGTTAAAATAAATGGTCACAGTTAATCTTTGGTCTGCAGTAGCAGGGTAGACAGCAGGAAGGTGCCTGCACAGTCTGATCTCCCAGTGCCTGCCTTGTCCGGAGGGCCAGGACTCCGAGCCCGGAGATGACACAAGTTCTCAGGAATATTTGTGGGGTGGGGGCTGCGCACGGGTGGCTTTGCCTGCTGGGTTGGTGCCCTGGGCGCTGCATATTTTGTTTCCCAGTATGGGGATGTGTTTCCATTTTCAACTCCCAGCGCAGGAAGGCAGAGGGTGGCTCTCTCCTCTAACTTCTACGTATTTTTTACCACTGCAAAGCATAAGTTGTGATCTCTCAGTCATACGCTGCTTTGCAGGGGTGTAGGTCGGAAAGTTCTGAAGTGAAGGAAGAAGTTCAGTGTTTTTCTAATGATCTTTAGTGCTTACCGGCATTTTTGAGAAATTCAATGAATGTTTTTATGCTGATGTTGGTCTTAAGGGATAGGCTACAACTATTTATTTCTATTTTATGGACAAGCAACAGGGCATAGAGGCTCAGCCACTTGTCCAGGACAGAACGAGAAACAACCTCATCTAACCCGAGCCTTGGTGCTCTACCTTGTATTTCGGAAACAATCGACATCCATTGGCCTGACGGAGGGAACCGGGGAATTGCAAATGCTGGAGCATCCAAAAACCATTTTTCGAGAAGGAATAATAAAAGCAACATACAAAAGGTAGCTCCAGTACTGCTGGCTTTAAAGATGCTACGCAGCGATATTTGGGTTTTTTACACTACAAATAAAATTTTGTAATAGTAGGAGGATCCCTGGAAAGGCATTTTAGAGCTTCCTCTGATTTTTCAGAGCAGAGGACCTCTGGTTTACCTTCTCTTGGACCTTACAATTTAGAGACAAATATCAGTGTGGCATTACAAGACCTGGGCCGTCTGTGTGCTCATCTCTGCGCTCGCTGCTGTGGCCCAAAGCAAACAGAGACACGCGTATTCAGCTCCTTACTTCGCCGCGGACGCCCTGCGTGACCTCAGACAAGCCCCTTTCTTCCAGATCCCCGTATGCAAAATAGCAGCATTTTTCTAAGCCCTCCCCCACCCCAAGGTACTGTGAAAAGAAGGGTCAGGGTGTGTTCACCGACAGCGCTGATGGGAGACACTGATTCCCTTCTTACGGAGAGGGTGAGGAACAATACGCTCCGGTGGATGCTGCGTGCTTACACACCCCAGATGGCCAGCAGGTGCTGAAAACGATCTCGTCATTAAACCAGTGACACTACTTCAACTATTCCAACAGGCAAACGATGCTTCCAACTGGGAACGACGGGATGTACGCCCCGGGGCTCGGAGCCAAACGCTCCGGGCGCTCCACGAAGGGAGCTCAGATCGGATCGAGCCCACCCCGCTCTCTGCCAGGCAGCAGGATGCCGCCGTGCCACCGCATCTCCGAGCGCATCCAGGCCTCTGCCTTCTCACCATCACCCTGCCCCTCCGACCTCCTCCTCGGAGCACAAACAGCACCAGCCCTGCAGGAACCCCGAGCCAGAAGGGCGCGGAGGAGGCAGGCTCGTCCTGCCGAGAGCGGGGCCGCTGGGCCCGGCCGCAGGGTCAAGGAAAGGGGAGACGGGCACAACCGCTGTGCTCTGGCTGGGGTTTGTCATCTCACGGTTGGGTGTCTGTCCGTCCGTCCCCCCCCAGAAAAAAACCCCACCAAAGCCACTCAACAACGTTTATGTGCCCCACAAACAGGCACTGCTAGATCACAGCCCGCAGCTCAAAGTAGCAATGGAAACGTGACGACAGTGCTTTGCAGCTCAGGAAAACCCCATTTCCAGTTTGTTTCAAATTCGCAGCTACCAATTTTCTCACATTGAAATACAAGATTTATTCTCCCTAGAAGGAGGGATTTTTAGTTTGGCAGGGAAGCGGGGTAAGGGTGTGGGGGGGAGATTATTGTTGGATGAAGTTCCAGGTGTGGTGCTTTGTCTCGTGTAGAGGCCTCGCAGTGAAAAATGCATAGGAAGAACGCTGGTAGATGATTCTAGCCTTCTTCAGGTAAGAGCATGGGGAATCTTTGGCTTCACAAGCGTGGGAGGAAGATGCTTCTCTTACATTTTACCCAAAAGATACTCTGAGCTTTTCATTATTAAGTACAACGGACATTCCCCAGCTAGAAAGTGTGTCCCACCAGTGAGCCCATTGCCCAGCAAAGCTGAGTTCAGCCGGACAGAGGAGGCGGTATCCTTCTTCCATTTTCCCTCCCTGAGATCTTCATCAGGGAATGGATGGAAGAAGAGAGCTTGTGTACGGCTCTACGGCCCGTTGTACGTGCTGTGCTTCCCATATCCCGGTACCTCAAACAATGTGAAACAAGAGCTAGGGGAAAAAAACCCTCCTGGAATATTTCTAGAGTATCAACACAGCTACTCCCATATCTTGGTGAAACGATGGGAATTAGGCTTGGACGAGCAAATGTAGTGCAGCAGGAGACTTCACCACAGGGCTGGGCTATGCTGGTGATTCAAATCCTGGTGATTTAGTGAATCTGATGGCATTTTATTGGCCGGGGCATTATTCTTCTTAATCTAGAGAAGCAGCCCAGGACACAGCTGTGCCAGTGAAGTCTGCAGCATGTAAATTCTTGTCCCATCCTTGAAAAAAAACAAAACAAAAAAATAAGACCTGTGTAAGGGGCATTTTCCCACCACTAGTCTTTGAGGTTGGAAGTTGAAACATGAGCTACTGGAGCTCAGCTCTGAGAAAAGAGATGAGGGAAACATCCTGACCCGGCTCCTGAAAGCTGCCCTCCGTGTTGCCCACGTGCGAGGGCTGCTGGTGAAGAGTCCAGGAGGAGCAACGCTCAGTTCTTCAGCAGACCTGAGGAGGTCTCACAGTGGTTTCTAATATCCAAAAGCTCCCTGAAAGATAATACCAGTAAGAAAAAACAGAAGGAAAAAAAAAAAAAAAAAAAAAAAAAACCACACAAAAAAAAACAACACAACACAAAAACCCCCCCAACAAACAAGAAAACCAGGTCCTGCTTTGAAACCTCTCCAGTAGATCCATTTTGCAATTGGGGCTGGAGGAGAATGAAGGCAAAAGCACCCTTGCTGGACACATAAATAATGATCTCTCCCTTACTTCTTGTTCAGGGAAAATCCCCTCCTAAGTCAGGCTTCTGCCCAATTCTGCGTACAGCCCGTTCCTTGCTCAGGGTGACCCAGACGTGGAGCAATGAGGAAAACCAGGATCGGCTCCCGTGGCAGTGATGCTCAGGGAGGTCCCCGGGGCAGGGCGAGCTGAGATCAGTACTCACCTACCACTGCCACCAGGGCATAACCAAGATCCTCGGAAAAAACAGTTGAAAGACAAGAGAAAAAGTGGTTTTGCTGACATACCAGAACCTGCTAAGGTGTTTTACGCATTTGTAAAACAGGTCTGGAAAGAACTTGCAGGAGGAAAGAAAAAAGGCACCTATCTGTGCCAGAGCTGCACATTGAACACTCGTTTCCAGCTATGTCCTCTAGCAACTCCTACCCGGGCACGTAGGAGGGAGGGTAGCGGGCACACACATCTGCACAAATCAAATACTAACCGCAGAAACCAGATAATCCCCCCAAGTTCCCTTAAGGGCAGCACACCGCTGTCAGATCTGCTTGCGAGCCCCAGAAGCTCCCGGGCTGGCTTCTGCAAAGCTTAGGCTCCAGTATTCCCTTTCCTACCCGGTTATGTCTCTTCTACACTGTACTTCCCAATACTGAAAAATACCTTCACAGAGCCTCTCTGCAAGAAGTCCTATTCAGGACGCATTCATCACATTAGGAGAATTTGCCGGATCGTTAGTACGTCCGAAGCACCCACAGAGGAACTGGTGAAGCGGAATCGAAGCCGTGCTGTGAAAAGCAATCCAAGTATTGCCTATTAGGAGGGGCTGCTGTACCTGAAGAAAAAGAAACCACCACTATAGGCTCAGACTCAAAGTTCCTCCTGAGTTAAATCACACTGACTGGGAGTTTTCTCCACGGGCAATAAAAAAAGCCCAAAAGCAGCAGCCGTAATGAGCACGCAGCTTTGAAAGCAAAACCCCCGAGCTCCGTGGAAGGGAGCACAGTGGACTGGGAAAAGCAACAGTTCCCCTCATTTGTCAAACGAAGCTCGCCCTCTCCCCACGCTTGTTGTCGCTGCCAAAAGCTCCGACTTGCGTTTTCTTCCGCGTGACGGGGGAGTTTGGTAGCTGTAATCCCCTTCATCCGGATGGCCTGTCAGGGTTTACAGGCATTCCTTAAAAATAGAAGCAACCTAATCCCAGTTCAACTCATTTAACCGAAGTTTCTGCAAAACCGCACGGTTCTTTCAAAGCCGAGAGGCAATCACTCGCGGCTGTGACATGCGGAGGTTTGTCTCCTCTCTTGCCACCGATTTCACGGACGCATTGCTTGCTCCGTGTCGATACAGGCTGGTCTTTGCATCTCTCCTCTTTTGTTTGATGCTATTTTATTTGCGGCTGAGGACCTCAATTCACACACAGATCCCACTGAAATTACTACTGGTGCCTCCCTGCACAGCTTGGGGGCCGTCTGGCACTAACGGCTGAGTGAACGGGACCCGGCACCGCTCTCGAACCGCTACAGTCCCCACTCCGACACAAACCGGAGCCAATTTTGCCACGCTACCGGTCGTAACAGTGGCTTCCATGAGAAAAACAGAGCAGGCAGCTAGGAACTCTTCCACGCAACTCTGACCTGCCGTGGGCAAGTCAGCACCCTACGCCACGCAGCCTGAGGCAGGTCAGAGTCCAGACGAGGCATCGAAGCGACGGCAGCAGCATCCGTCCCACCCGGAGCTTAAGAGTACAGAGGCCACGCAAGTGCCTTAGTCGTGGGTGGAGGGATTGCGTTTACTGGAAGATGCAACCCTTTGCCTTAGATGAACTGGTACAGCGGGAGAAAAAGCAGCGAAGCCCCAGGCACCCGGAACGCAGTTGCTGAAGCGGCGCCGCATCTCCCTGCGCTTCACCAGCGCCGTACGCGCGGAGCCAGGGGCTGAGAGCACCCCGGGCCCTCGGGGTTTGACTCCCCGTTGCTTCCAGCACACACCCACCCTCTCTAAACGAGGGGCGGCCACGAGGAACAGCGGCTGCACCTCCGCCCGGGCAGCGCCGGGAAGAATCGGCGCGTTCCACGCGGAGCGGAGCGCCCCGACCCGCAGAGCCCACGGGGCTGGCGCTGGGGGGAGCAGCCCCTCCTCGCCCCCGTCCCCCTCCCCCTGTCCCCCCACGCCCCCGGGGCTCGCCCGTGCCCCACGCCGCCCCGGAGCCTCGCCCTCGCAGCAAGCGTGCGTACTGCCAGGCGCTGCCGTTTTCCTTTGAAAAAGCACCAGAACAGTACATTTTTTTTTTTTTTTTTTGTTTAGTAGCTTGCAGAACTCTAACACACTGAAAATCATATTCCTTTGGATACTAAAACCACACCCAACGTTCTCCTGAAATGCCGTTCTGACAACCAGAGAGGGAAAACAACGGAAGGCTTCAAGTTTTCATGTATTTTATTTACAGGCCGCACAATACATTTTATATACAAATGGCTTAAAATAACAAAGAGTAAGCAAGCTGAAGCATAACAGTTTGATTATTTTAAATTAGGTTGTCTTGAAATAACTCCTGCAATAAAGTATTCTTCACCCTGATAAGCAAAAGTTAGTTTGATTTTAAGTCAACCCAAGGTCATTTCTCTTTTAAATACAGAATTCAAATCAGTTTTCTGGCGATTCCTTAGTTTCATGACACACTTCCGCATATACAGAACATCCCAAAACTATCAAGAAGGGAAAAAAGCCAAAATTTCCCCATGTAAAAAACGGTGTAACAGAACAGACTGGAGAAATGTTGCATGTAAAACACTCGCGTGTTTTATTAACGCAAAGAAGAATGCAAGAGATACATCCGAGATTTCTCTTGCAAACAGAATTAATGGTCAGAGATCTAATTTGCCCGCAGACAAGAGGTATCCTACATTACCTCAGTACTTCAGTATTTACTGCAAAATTATCTACTAAACTCATCCAACTGTAAACTTCACCAAAACTGAAATTGCCTCCTGCACCAAGTAAAAGGAGAAGAGCACTCAAAACTGTAACAACTTACATTACAGCACTTATCCCGCCTCTGCTTCTAGAAATCACCTTACGCTACCATGGTATGGAGAAAATTTAACACAGACCGTGTTTTACGGAACCAATAGAAAATATAGAAGTTTGCAATTTTAAAATTATTATTCCAAGAAATTATATTAACATTTAAGGATACATGTATTTTTACACCTCTTCCCTAACACTGCTCCTTCTGTTCAAGATAACAACTACTAGAGATCCATGAAAAAAGCTGTTTCCTTTACCTTTGGCTGAATTTTAAGTATTATAATAGTCTAAGTGTTTTAAGTCATGGCCACAGCAGTCCAGTCATGCTCGCTTTCTTCCCCTTGGTATGGCTAAAGACCACTCAATATAAATAATGAAGTACTTGCTACTTGATAGTCCATGATTACAGTATTTTGCTATGTTTATTTAGAAATACAAACACACAACACTTACTTTTCGATGTAGTGTCCAGGTCTCTGTAGAACACTTTGGAATTGCAGCACAGAAAATGTAAACCCAAAGGAACGCAGGAGGGGAAAGTAACAAAAGCCACGGAAAAATAACGCAGTTTTCAGAATGTCTACTACTGCATCAAAAATGCAAGAGCCACATGATGTAAAATGCCAAACTAGTACAGACTCACTCTGCCGAGTGGAATTTGTTCAAGAGGGTCAAATTCTAAACTGATGTAAGCGCCTCGTCACGTGATTTAATTCAAAAGGAATTTGGATAGATAATACACAGCTCCGGTACAAATGAACGCGGACCTACAGTCCTTCCACCTGGCCAGCTCCCTGGCTGCTGACAAGCCCAGGGCCAGGGGAACGCGGCCGCGGGGCCAAACCCTCCCCCCCACGCACCCCGAGGGCTGCCCCGTCGAGGGGGGGGACGGAGCTCCTGACCCACAGCGGGGAAAAGGCAAGAGCCAGCCCCCACCCCGCGGGGCGCAGAGCAGGGGATCCCTTCAGCGCTCCCACACGCACCGAAACCCGTGCACGTGCCCTCCAAATCACCCCGACGCTGCCGCCCCAGGCCAACACGCTGTCGGAAGTGACAGGCCAGCAACCCTCAAACTGGATCTGGGGAAAAGTCACCGGGCAGTACGCATCTGCCGCGGCTTGCCAGAGGTTTGCTTCTGGTTCCTCTGGAAGTCAACAGCCTATTGCCCCTCCTCGCTCCTCACCGGCAGGATTGCTCGTGCCAGGGTGGGGGTTCTCTCATGACCACAGGCTGAAATGCATTTTGGCGGAACGGGGCGACGTCAGGTCAGAGCACTGCCAGCCCGTAAGGAAACTGCACTGCTCTTCACACGTGCAGAGGGCACCGACTTCTCTGCGTTAAATGAACTAAATGACTTGAAAATTTAACTCCAAAAAGGAAAGCAGCAGGAGACACAGCGTCTTCCTTGCATTTTCGTACGGAAAATCAAATCATTTAGTCCTCCGAGAGCTACCTTCCATTTGAACTTACCTGCTTTTTTAGCCAACTGTCACCTGCAGTTGCATTTGAAGTGCAGGAGAGTAACACCAGACTGCACACTTTTAGTGACAGCAACTGCCCAAGAGCCTTGAAAGTCTTTTGCTTGATTCTGAAATAAAGCTATCTGTGTGTAGTAGCACTGTGGGGTTGTTTTTTTTAAGATTAGTAAACAAAAAGCTTTAGCTGACACTGTCCATATCTAAATTACACTAATGATTTTCACCTTTACAATTTTGCTAGCAGAAAAATGCTACGGGGGTGTCCTTACCCAAGGAAAGCTACCCAACGCACTGTCATCCACACATGAAGCTTCTGTTTTACTTAAGCACAGGCTATTCGGGTCATAAAGTATTTGTGTCTGACGGGGCCGCTTTTATTTTCAGATCGCAGGATTTTCTACTGTGTCTAGTGAAGGCAACTGCCAGACTTACAGGGACATCGTAAGCAGCATGACTCTCTCTCCATTTCTCATGTGCCAGGTCCTCAAACGCTACGTAGTTAGCGAAGGGACTTTCTCCATGCTCTACAACGTGGTGGTTAGCCATATACGAACCAGGATTTTCAACTAAAACAAAACAAAACACCAACAACTTTGGCTTCTATTCTGAAAATCCAAAAAGTCACTGACAGGACTACATTTGTAATAGTGTAAGTAAAAATTTTACTTTTTTAAAAGTAATAATTAAACACTCAGTTACATAAGGTACCGATTTGTCAACTGGATAATCAGTTGGAAAATTGTTTCCAATATGGGCTTTAAAACATTCTTTTACGTACATGCAAAATATAACCATACCTCCTCTCTGCAGGAGAGAGACCACTTGTTGTCAAAGGAAAAAAAAACATGCTGGAAGTTGTAATTAATACGAGGAGTGGCTCTTGGTAAAAGTTTTAACTACAGTCATTTTATCAGTTGTTCAGAGAGACTCGATTCCAATATTAAAATGCTCTGTGGAATAGCAGATATAAAATCGATTAATTGGCACAATCACAAGTTTACAGAGAATTAGAACTAGCGTCAAACATTTTGCTGTTGGTCTAAATACTGGTCATTTTTCCTTTGGTTACTTCCTAATTATGCAGTTTTTGTGGTAAAAAGATGACAGTGTCAGCTTTTCACACAAAGTAACTACTGCTGTTGACATTGAAGAGAAAAAATTATTTCGTCACGTGGTAAGGATGTTTGGCAGAGGAACTAAAACACTTACTACAGCTCCAAGAGGGAGCTGAGGAAAAACTACACTCTTCATTCTTCTCCTCACTTTCAACGTTTCTCATGAAGTTCAATTTGGAAATTATGATTTCATCAAAATAAGATTAGGTCTCTAAAGAACTGGCCCACCTGAAGTAAACAGCACAAGGTTATGACCTACTTGAGTTGCCTATTATTATCTGAAATTTCACTACCTAGGTTTAGGTATTATTTTCATATCAATCTATAAAGTACTTCCAAATTTTTGCAGACCTTAAGCTTACATGTTAAGGCACTTACCATTCAAGTAAAACAGTTTTTATATAAACAAGCCTGGGAGATGGAGAGAACATTTTACCAGAACATCCATTCTTTTTTTTTTTTTCTTGAAAGAAAAAAAAAAATAACATTGACCAAATATTTATAAAATTTTGCATCAAGAGAAAGGTTGTGTTTTATTATCTGAAATGAGCACAAAGTACACCTTCCACAATAACACTGAAAGCAGTGCAAAGACTGACAGTGACCTTTGACTAAAGGTAGTTCTGTAAAAAGAAAAATACCAAATAAATCAGTGCCCTGCTTTGATTGTTGTAAAATTTTTTTTTTTACATAAAAGTTGGTCCAAACTTACAAAAAAAGCACAAATGTGCATAGTTCAGAAGATCTGAAAGAGTGCCATAAAAAGCTGATGTCCCTAAATTTAGCATCCACTTAAAACTGCCAAAATACAAAATAAAATTCCGAACTAGAGTTTGTGAACATGTACAATCAATTTATCTAGTTTTCAGACAGCATGAGTTTTAAGCATTTTTAATTTTTCCTACTGTATGCAAGACCCTTTTCCACATAAAAATAAAGCTGTTGAATTAACATTATTCAAGTCTGTTGAATTGCTGCTTTAAACTGCAGCTAGGGAAAGAAAAAAAAAAAAAAAGTTTTTCCAGATAAAAATGATGTGCCTGAGGAAAAACAGATACTCAATATGGTAATCCTCTGCCTCGCCCTCTCACTGCAGATGTGCTAATGTGTCCCCTGTATCCTTGGGAATAGCCGGGTCCTTGGGCAGGAGAAGTCCAAGTCTGTCCATGCATGTGGCTGATGCCACCGGGATTTTCCTGTAAGTTACTTCCGTAGCTATAGTTGTGCATCTTTGCGGGCAAAGAGTGGGCGCTCTCTGGCCCCGCGGAAGCGTCGCTGCTGCTCCCCAGAACCGGGATCGGGCCGTGGCTGTACTCAAACCTATGGTCTTTATCTCCACTAAACAGCATGGGGCCAGCGTTGAGGTAAATGTCTCCATAACCAGTTACTGAGCTGGGAAAGGATTCTGAAAAGGCCGACGGAGGAGGGGCAGCACCAGAGTGAGATGAAGCAGTACTGTAGTTATCTAAAGACTGAATATCCGAGTTCCCGAGGAAGCTCCTCCTTTCCAACGCTCCCGACGACCCACTCCCTATTCCATCGCTACTGCCATAATGGGCAGACGAGAAGGAAGATGATCCGAAGTTATCCTTGTAGTCTGGGCCTGGGCCGTAGGAGTCTCTAGCCTGATAATCCACGCTCGTTTGTACTGGCTCCTCCCTTGTCGCCTGAGCTTGATGCTGAGCAAGCAGCTGCAGAAGAGCTGCTTTCACTCCTGCGTGAGGGTCTGTTCCTGAAGAGTTACTTATAGGCAAATGCTGGTTCTCTGTCCGATAATCAAGGTCTTCATCGGTGAGAGGCGGAGGTTCCGGCGGCTCTGGGGGACGCTGGTCTGGAGGCAAGATCCGAGGGCGTTCTTGTTCGGGTGTTCGGTGCAGAAGCCTCATCTCGGACTGCCTAACCAAATCCTCTTGACCTAAGCAGATGAAAAAGAAAAGCTTTGGAATAACAACGTACAATAGCAATATCAGAAAGGAAAGGACTCCTTCCTGGAACAATACAGAGGTTTCTTACTTCAATTCTCACTAACTTATAAGTTAAATTTACTGGTAGTTGGACGGATTATTTTGGAGAAGGCAACAGCTCATTTGCCTCCGGAGGGTGATGCAGGTTTCTCACCAAAGTAAGGTTACCAGGGAAGCAGTTCAAGAAAAACGGTACAAATCCCTTCAAAAAACCCAAACCAACACTCAAGCCACATGTAAACAACTAGAAAATTCAAAGAGGGAGCAGAAAAAGATTTGCTAGTAGGGATAAAAGTCTTGAGGAACAAAAGGCCACCCTACCAAGGAACAGCAAAACCTAAGGTTAAAGAAAGAACATAAACCCACCAACCGTAAAAACCTCAAAAAACACCCCCAGACCACTTCAGAACGTTTCTTTCCACAGCTGCAAACACCACACAGAAATATGTAAACCACCCAAATAAAACAGCAATTGCAATCCAAGATGATCAATGACAGAGCTCTAAACCATGAGAACACTGAGGAAGCCACTACTACACCCCAGTGGAAACCTTCGACCGCGTGTTAGGGACAGTTACAGAGTCTGACAGTAAGAAACTGCTCTATCAAGCATTAAAAAGAAAATACCCTTTCCCCAAAATAGGCTTTACCTAAACGCTCAGGCAAAATTGGCAAATTCCATCTATGAATTTGCTAGAGAAGGCTGTCTTCACCGCAAACACCACTAAGAAAACCCCAACCCACCCCCCCCACAATGATCAATGTAACCGCTTCACTACCGGCGCTCGGGTACCGCTCAGGGCGGGAGGCATCTTTTCCTCTCTCTGCACGGCACCTGTTAGAATCAGGCACAAATTCTACGACCCAGACGTAAAACGTGACAAAAAAATCAACTTAATCACTATCTCCCCTATACTCACAGACTCACACGCTAACTCTTTATCCCCCGACTATTACATCTCCCCGGCTCAAGGTCTCTGGCGGTTAGCACCAAAGCCCTTCAGTACCTGCAGACGTGTACAACGACTTGATCAGATGTGGGTAGCCGGGTGCCGGAGATTCCACATCGTCCCGGCTGACAGACACAGGAGTGGTGGGCTCTGGAGGCTGCCTGAGTTGTAATGACATTTCATTTCCTGATCCGTTTTCCTTCTCCTCCAACACAAAATCTTTTTGTTTTGTTTGCTGAGCCTTTATTAACTGAGACAACAGAACAGCAAACGCACTCTGTACAGCTGCCTGGGCAGCATCAGTCTCAACTTTAGGCTGACTCAGCTGCGCAGGGGGTACAGGAGGCTGCGCGATGGTCGGCTGTTTGAGAGGCTCCTGTTCCGGCGGTGGTGGCGGAGGCGGCGGCGGCTGCTGCTGTTCTGACTGTTTTTCACCTGCTGACAAAATTCCAGCAGGAAGATTTATTTTATTGAGTTGCTGCTGAGTCTCTGGGTTTACCTTAATATTCAACATTTGGGCAAACTGTGCCAAACTAACACTTGTTTTAGACTGTAGCAGGTTTAGCAGGATTGCCACTTCATTCTGGTTTAACTGCTGTCCAGTGCTTGTTTTTGCTAAAGACAAAAAAGGTGGTTTTAAGTATTATTTAGAACTGGCATATTTCAAAAACTCAAAAGTAAGACTAATCTAGCACAGCTGAGACAACTGGCAAAGCATGGGTTCGGACAACATAGAAATGGAATGCTTCTACATATTAACTGCCTTTGGGGGAGCATCTATAGGAAATGGAGTAGTAAGATTCAAAATTAAGCAAGTAACTTCCACGGGGTCACACACACACACACCTGGACATACAAGAAACATCAAGCTGGAGCTCAATTTTCCACAAGACAACTAAGCCGGGGCTTAGGGCCACCTGCTTTAGGCAGCTGTAAGTTTTCCAATCCCCACAAAATTTCCTATCTTTGACATATCACATCCCTCTGTTAAAAAGTGGCCATCTGCAAAATGCATTTCCAGTCATACTCTGGCCCGTTCTAATTCAGCATCTGGATTCTAACACCTGCTCAAGTGACCAGGCTCAAGGTGACCCAGAAGCTAGTGGTA